AAATCTACATTGCAGTCTTCACCTCTGTCCTGAACTTCAGCTCTTGCCAAACACCTTAATTGGGCTGACACACATACAGCTTGTAGCTGACAACACATCAACTCACTGCCCCACATGCCTCTCAGGACATCCGACTTTGTCCCACCCTCCGTGAATTTCCTTCTCGGGTATCTGATTTTCCTCCCTAGATCGCCAAACCTGAGCGGGTGAAAGAGGGGGATTGTGAGAGTTGATTAGAAGTGTTCTCGGGCACTGAGGCAGAAAAATCAGCTGGGTCTCGTAGCAGGTGAGGGATAAACCATTTAGAGCTGGATGGCAATTCAAGGGGCACGCACTAAATGAGCAGAATATTTCCGGTGATAAAACCAGTGGGATGCAATTCTACCTTACAAATCCGGCTAGACCAGAGGATGCACACTGGTACAGATAGGAACTGGAAACAGGGAATCCAGGGCGGATGATTCCTACAGGACCAGTGGTGTGAGTGGCGATACTGGGAGGGTGGAGGGAGGGTGGATTGGAAAGGGGGAACCAATTACAGGATTTACATATAACCTCCTCCCTGGGAGACAGACAACAGAAAAGTGGTGAAGGGAGACTTCGGACAGGGCAAGATATGACAAAATAATAATTTGTAAATTATCAAGGGTTCATGAGGGAGGGGGGAGCGGGGAGGGAGGGGATAAAATGAGGAACTGATGCCAGGGGCTTGGGTGGAGAGCAGATGTTTTGAGAATGATGAGGGCAATGAAAGTACAAATGTGCTTTACACAATTGATGTATGTATGGCTCGTGATAAGAGTTGTATGAGCCCCTAATAAAACAATTTAAAAAAACAAAACAAAACAAAACAAATAAACGAAAAAAACCAAACCAAAACAGTGGGATGTCAGAGATAAGAGAGGCTTCCGGATGGAGACAAGCCCCGCACAGGAAGCAAAGTGTCTTAGTTCTCTAGCGTGGCTACAACAGAAGTAACACCGGTGGGTAGCTTTTAAAACAGAAATGTATTTTTTCACGATTTAGGAGGCTGGAAGTCTGCAGCCACGATGCAGGCTGGCGTAGAAGGACTTTTACCACCATCAGCTCCTTGGGAGAAAGATAAGGCTTTCTTCTCCCGTAAAGAGTCTCATACTGGTGGCTTAGTGCTTACGAGTTGGTCTGCTACCTGCCAGGGCAGCAGTTCAAAACCACCAGCAGAAAAATGCGGTTTTTCTACTTCTGTAAAGAATTACAGTTTCAGAAACCCACAGGGGCAGCCCTTCCCTGTCTTACAGGGTTGCTGTAATGAGCATGAGAGAGTAGAGTGTCCTAGACGGTCATCTGCATGAAGGCAAATTGCCTCGTCTTTCTCCCTTAGAGTGGCTGGTGAGTTAGAACTGCCAAACTTTTGGTGAGTAGCCCAGTGCTTAAACCACTACACTACCAGGAATCCGTTCATTAACATCCTCCCATTGAATGGCTTCTGATTCTGAGAAGCCCTGTATAGAGTTTCGGAGGCCCTAAATCTTTATGGGAGCAATGACCTCTTTTTTCTCCTTGGGAGTGGCGGCTGGGTTTCTACCATGAACCTTGCAGTTAGCAGCCCAGTGCCCATCCAACAGCACTATCAGGGCATCCTATGAACACCATCGACGTTAGTAGTTACCACACATGAGAGCGCAAAACGGAGGAGAATCATGCCTTAGCCAAGTTGGCCTGTATTTGGGGGGACAAAAATGTGGGGTTGTCGATCATTTCTGTGTCTTGCTCATGGTCCTTGATGTGTGTGAGCTGGATTCAACCAGAGACATTCAGGAATAAATGACAATTGACTGGCTGTCATCCACTCACTATCAATTCCTTAGAACCTTCAAGGTCTCTCCTAAACTGGTGATGCTTTACTTCTCCAATGTCACCGCTTCTAGCTTTCAACTCACCTCCAGGTTAAAGGTATTTCCCCAAGTCCAGTGTATTCTCTTGTGCTTCTACCTAGTGCACACAGTTCTCTCTGTCTGGAATGTAATTTCCATTGATGTCTGCCCAGGGAAGACCAGCTCATCCTTTTAGACTCGGCCCCAGCTTCCTCAACAACTCCAGGTCCAATTATTCACTCTGATGTCGTCTGTGAAATATTTTCATACCTCAATTATTTTAATTGCTACACCATCTCCGAATTGTTTACTTGCCTAAGTGGAACTGTGTGTTCCAAGCACCTAACAGAATGGTTGGCACATAGTAGGTTCAGAGTAAACACTTGTTGGGTGAAGAAATGAATGATGTCATCTCCTTAGAGGGGAGAAAAGCAAGTCAAGAAAGAATCGCAGAAAGGTCACGCCAATAGCTAGTTTTGGGTGCAGACAGACAGAGAAGAGCACCTGATTTCAGACAGCCCTAGCCTGCTCCCTTTCCCTAAAATGTGTAATTCAAAACACCAATGCTACACAGTAAATAGCATTTTGAATGCATGAGAATACACTCTTTGTGGGAAGGAGGCAGTGTGCCTCTTTTGTTGGCAGTTTATCGGAGGAGAACCTCCTTATCATTTGTAAGGGTGTGGGCAGGGTGAAAAGCCAGTTTGTGGACTAGCAGCAGTGGGAAGCTGTGGCTACGCCTAGGCCCAAGGGTCTAGGGAGGGAGCCATGAGCCACAGCCGCGGAGAAACACAGCCATGGTCACAACGGGGCCCAGCGCGTTGAAGGTGGAGAAATAATACCTAATCCATGCTTTCCTCCCACTCTCAGAACTCCTACCTTTGAGTGTCATTAGTTAAATTCAACCAGATGACAATTCTTTAAGATAGATACCATAGAAATCAACCTCCTACCCGGTGTGGAGACCCGTCAAGAGTGGTTGAGAATGACCTACCGGAAGGGGAGGTGCCTCTGCTTTGTGGGTAGGCTGTGCATATGACTGGGTCATCACGTGCTTAGTCAGGGCCTAGATAACACAGCTAGGTCTCATGTTTACGCCACATGTAGGTACCTGCATACCAAGCTTATTAAAACACGTGCTGCTGAATTAGCTGAAATGGGACGAGGGAATTTTTGCTTAGAAAAAGGCTTCGTAAGAAAATTTGATAATAAGCCTCATTTGTTGAGAACCGCTGATGTCATCCCAACCCCTGATTTGTTAGTTAGGGATACTAAGAAATGAAAAATGCCTCGACGGAGCTGCTCTCTACTTGAGAACTAAGGTAACTTTAGAAGGTTTGGATGGAAAACTGGCACGATTTCCCGTATCTTCTAGCATAATTCCCTTATTTTACTGATGAGGAAAATGAGGCCCCCAAATATGGAGCGATAAGCCCTATTATGCCACTGGCATTTTACAGAGACAAGGGGTTAGTATGAAATATTTGTATTTCCCAATGTGTTGTTTCTTTCCTGGCAACACAGTTTGTAGGGATATGGGTATGCGACAAAGGGCTAAAGAGAGCAATTGAAGTTCCTCCTTCTGGTAAGGTGGCCCCGGGCCTGAAAAGAAAGCAGAGCAGAGGAGGCCCTGGGTGCTTGAGACTCTCTCTCTAGGGGGGAGTTGGAAAGGGTGGCAGGACCCAACTGCCCCAGAACCTCAGGTTGTCGATTCTGTCACTAGAAGGGGATGCTATACTTCCAGTAGTGTCAGGCTGATAGGAGAGGCTCAGGAACAACTGGGAAGGGCATGGGGGTGGGGTGGGGAGAGAAAAGAAAAAAGACCCATTGTGAGCAGGGGGTCCCCCAAAACCTTGACGTGGGCCTCTCCTCACTAGTAGAGGACAGGGTCCAGCACCAGGGCCTCAGCGTCATCATTCCAGTATTCTAGAAACTCTTCAATGGCTGCTCATTCGGACTGGCCACTCCCCACCCCACAATCTCTCAATTCCTAAAGTCTACTGCAGGTCATATCCTTTCAAATGTATCTGAAACCTCCTTCTTCAGGAAGCCACCTCAACTTACCTGTCCTGAATCTAGGCATTTGTTCCCATCTTTCACAACATGCCCAGAATGGGGGGACCCTCGGATATCAACCCCTGTGGTATAGATAGAGAAATCAAAAGAATTCATCCAACCACCTAGCATAGACGTGGCAAACCTGGGACCACGTAGGTCTGTACTCTTGACTACCCATCTCCCATGAGTTCACATGTTTCTGAACACTCGTGGCTCCAGATGTGTGCTTGTCTGCTTCCGCAACATTAAAAACCATTCAAGTTGTATTTTTGGCACGGTGAGTTCACATTCCTTTAGGTCCTTAAGTTGCTCGGCTCTTCCTGTCACTCCCACTGGGTAACTGCCTTTCGGAGTTGTTACGAAGCGTGTGCCTAAGGGCAAGTACCTGTGCTTGTTCACATGTTATGGTCATGAGTCTACAGGCTGCTTCTTGCCTGTATTTGTGTTTCTGATCCTATATTGATGGATCTGTGTCCACCTGTGGTTTATCTGTGAACTTGGTCAGTGCCCTGGAGTAACTGTGATTCTATGCTATCGCCTATGTTAGGATTATGGATACCTGTATATGCACGTGCTTAAGGCTGGGCGTCTGCTGACCAGATGGTTGGTTGGTGTGTCCAATTGAACGCGTGTCTGGATACAGGGAAAGTTCGGGGTCTAATTTCAATTGTGTCTGTGTACACTGCAGGATTCAAGGCTAAAATGGAATCTGTTTGCCTTTTGTCCCAGGTTTACAAGAACGTGTGTAGCCAGGACAGGAATGTCTTTGTCTCTCTGGGTCCCCAGGCTCAGAGACCGGGGTCATGGTCACGTTCCGGGATGTTTTGGCAGGGCAGCTCAGGGGGGCGGGGCCTCAGAGACCCGGCCTCCCTCTGGGAGAAGCTTCACCGCTGCTCGCCCAAGTCCCAGGAGGCCTGGCCGGCGTCGCCAGCTGGGCCCCGCCCCCCGGGGCTCCGGCCCGCGCATTGGCCGCGGCTCCCGTGACGTCACAGGGTTCTCAGCAGCCAGCACCCCGGGCGCCGGCCGCGCGGGAGGCATTGCCCATCACCTCCCGCTTCGTTACGTAGTCTCCTCTTCACCTGGCCGCGGGCGCGTCCTGCCGCCGCAGCCCGGAGCCGGGTCCCGGCCGCCGCCGCCATGGTGTCCCCGGTCACTGTGGTGAGTGAGCGAGCCAGCGTTCAGCGCGGCCGGAGCCCGCTGGCCTGGGGACTGGGCTGCTGCAGACCGAGCCGCCGGGCCCGAGGAGGAGTGGGATCCCGCGGCGGCCGGCGACGGCCGGCTGGCTTGGCGCGCTGTCCGGGACCCCGGCCCCCGGGCCTCGCCGATCCGCCGCGCCCCTCCTCCGCTCGCCCCCCGCCCTCCCGTGGGAGGGAGGAAAACAGTGGGCACGTGACTCGGAAGCGTGACTTTGTTGATCTCCCAGTGTCTGAGCCGGGTCGGCGGGGTCGCCGCCCAGACCGCGGTGGGGCGTGGGGGCCGGTGGGCGGCCGGGCGGTGACAGGTACCCCTTGGAATAATCTGCATCAAAAGCTTTTCTCCCCTTCCCTGCCTTACAGACACGTCGGGGGCGGCAGGAGGGACGCTCCTGGTTGAGCAGAGCCTCTGCGTTTCATTGCGCACTGGGGAGCGTGGGGGGTGGGGGTGGCGTTCTTTACTGAAATCTCTGCTCTTTCAGACTTTTCCCAACTCGAACCTTTGTGTCTTCTCCCCACTTTGTTCTTTCAGTGCTCGGTTTTCCGTGCCCGGCAGTGGCTCCCCAGCTTTCTCCTTCTAGGAAGCACGGCGTTGAGAGGGAGGGGCGCTGGGGAGCGCACCTTGGAGCTTCCGAGGGCTGGCCGGTGGCTGCCGGAGGGGCGATGCATTGTCATCAGCCCCTTCCTCTCTGGCTCATCCGTCCTTCTGTCCTGGCCAGCCTCAATGGCGGAATCTCCATGGGAAGGCACTTGGTCATCTGTTCTCTGTACTTGGTCTGCCCAGAAATGCAAGGGCAGTATTGGACCTTCGGCCCCTTTCCAGCCCCTTCATCACAGTCTGATCAATCCCCAAGGATCTGGTAGCCCCTGAGTCAGGTGTGTTCCTAGAGTCCTGGCTGGTCAGCTCAACCAGCTGGAGGGACCACCACTTTGGATTCAGTGCAGGTGTGGAGGGAACGCCAGCTGCCTCAACTCTGCCTTCAGAGCATCACAAATTCTCTAGTCCAAGTGGTTCAGACTATCCGAGGGCAGCCCCCTCCCCCCAGTTTGCAGAATTTAGGCGGTGACCTTAGAGACAACCTTTAACTAGCTCTCCTTAATCTCTCTGAGCCTCAGTCAGCTGCTCTAACTTCCCCCCTTCAGTTCCCCTTCTCCCAGCCTGTCTGCTGGCTCCAGATCAGAAGCTGCAGAAAGAACCCTCCCTGCTTCCTGCTTTTCTTGCCTTTTGTGTCTTGAGTTGCTGTTCACTGGGAAATGAGACTGAATGCCACCTCGACCTCCCTCTAACCCCGACATTTCTGGTTCTTCAGGGACAGTGGTCTTCTCATGTCATGGCTTCATGTCTCTAGCCAGCACCCCATCTCTTCCTCGTCCACGATGACTCCTTTAGGCTGGAGCAGTGGACAGGAGGACGTGGAGGTGGTTGGCAGGGGCCATCCTCACACATTCCTGGCATTCACCTGGTGTTGCCAGGTGCTTAAGCCTGTGCCCTGGCCTCACTGCTACGAATCATGAGTTGGCCAGCCTTGGCATCCCTGTGCTTTCCTGCTAACTCCACTCCATTCCCGACACCAGGGTGTCTAGCTGCTGGTAGTGGTGGTGGTGGGAAAGGGCCGAAGGGACCTGGAATGGGAAAAGGAAAAGAATTGGACTTTGAGAGGGGACAGTCTTCCAAGTTCTGTACTCAGGAAGTGACCATTCCGGCTCACACCCAGAGCCAAGAATGGACAGCAGGAGTACCGGAACCCTTCAGATAAACTGAGCCTCAGGGTACGAATGGGCTTGTCTGCACTGGAGGGACAGGCCAGGCTGGGTTGCTATATATTCCACTTCCTTGTTGTGGGGTTGAGGTGGCTGGCTCTGAGTTCTCAGTGTGGCTCTGTCTCGTGTCCTCTAGGTGAAGAGTGAGGGACCCAAGCTGGTACCGTTCTTCAAGGCCACCTGCGTGTATTTTGTGCTCTGGCTGCCCTCATCCAGCCCATCCTGGGTCAGCGCCCTCATCAAGTGCCTGCCCATCTTCTGCCTCTGGCTCTTTCTTCTGGCCCATGGCCTCGGATTCCTGCAGGCCCACCCCAGCGCCACCCGCATCTTTGTGGGGCTCGTCTTCTCCGCTGTGGGCGATGCCTTCCTCATTTGGCAGGATCAGGGCTACTTTGAGCACGGTTAGTAGCCACAGTAACTGCCTGAGGGGGGTCCTGGTGGTGTGCGGGGATGGGGGAAGTCCAAAGAGTTGATGGAAGGGGTTTCTGAATCTCAAGCTCCCCGAGGTCATGGACTCTGGGGGCCTTGACCCAGAGGATGATGTTGCAGGTCATCTGGTGATCAGTTCTGGAGTTCCTGAGGGCTGTGGTGTGGGGGAGCTGTGTTTACTTTTATGGGTCCCCTCTTACCCTGTTCCTCCTACACAGTCCCTAGTTTACCTATCCCAAGCTCCCCTACCCAGTTACCCACCTCACATTGCTGCACTCTTGTTTCTTCTCACTCCCAGGCCTGCTGATGTTTGCTGTGACCCACATGCTCTACGCCTCGGCCTTCGGCATGAGGCCACTGGCCCTGCGGACAGGACTGGTGATGGCTGTGCTGTCGGGCCTGTGCTATGCCCTCCTCTACCCAGGCCTTTCAGGCGCCTTCACCTACTTGGTGGGGGTCTACGTGGCTATTATCAGCTTCATGGGCTGGCGGGCTGTGGCCGGGCTGCGGCTGGTTGGGGCAGCCTGGCGCTGGACTGAGCTGGCAGCCGGCAGTGGTGCCTTGCTCTTTATCGTGTCCGACATGACCATCGCTCTCAACAAATTCTGCTTCCCTGTGCCCTACTCCCGGGCCCTCATCATGTCCACCTACTATGCCGCCCAGATGCTCATCGCCTTGTCTGCTGTTGAGAGCCGGGAGCCGGTGGAAGCCTATGGACTGAGCAAGACCAACTAAGGGATGGTGGGGGGGGGGGGGGGGGTTGGGCGGCTGGTCACCCCTCATTCCTCCTGGGTCTGGGATTCAGGATCTAGGAACCTGGATGGCTCCAGTTCCAGCCTGGTCAGCAGGTACTGCCTGGCAAATGGACACATCTGAGGCACTAAGCGAGAGGAAGAGCTCCCTGGCTGAAGCAGTGGCCCAGCATAATGCTGAGAGCACAGAGGAGCCAGCCCTAGTGTAAAGCCCTCCTGGAGGGTGCTGGTGCTCAGCTTCTTAGTCTCCCTCCCTCCCTCCCTACTATGGGGAGGACTATGATTCCATCTCTTCTGCCAAGGACAAATTGCAGTCCTGGGCTTGCCCTTCCCTGTCTCTGATCTGCCCAATTGAGGGACAGGGGAGGAATCTGTGCTGAGCTGACCCCAGGGCCAGGGCTGAAGCCCTTTACACGGGTCCCTAGTTGGAAAGATTGGAGGAGGTTGGAGTCATTCCCCTTCTCCTCTCTCCTTGTTACTTGAAGAATCACAATCTCTAAGGGGTGGGGGAAGGTGCAGGGCTATGTCCAGGAAGTATAAGCAGGAGAGGGGATGACCTTGGCTTGGGAGCTTGAGATATCAAAGATTCACGTTGGCCCTACCTCTCACGGGCCAGCCAAGAGCTCAAGTCTCCTACCCACCCCCAGACTCCCCCCCCCACCCCCCCCCACACCTATGAGGCTAGGGTGAACTATGCCAAAGGTAAAGGCATGTGTGTGTGTGTGTGTAGTAATTGTCCCAGCCTGTCTGTGTCTGCCATCTGTCTCCATTCTGCTTTCTGAGGGGGTGCTTGAGCCTAGCTCTGAGAGCTTCCCACCCACCCTCAATGGTTTCATCCTTGCCCCTCATGCAGGAGGGGTGAGAGGAAGGGGCTCCAATGACACTCGGGTCACTGAGACTCAAGGCACATTCAATGCAAGGGGAGCAAGGGTAAGATAACTCATGCCACCCTCTACTGCCCATGTGGAAAAATAAACACCGAGGGCCACAGCCGCCCTGCTAGCCTGCCTGTGTAGCATGTGCCTGGCCTGCAGAGGGGGTGGGGTTTGGTGCCAGGGGCCTTGACTGTCCTCACCGAGTGGCAGTCCCAGTCAGTGCATTTTGGCGCCAGGCTGGCTCACTGACTGCTTGGTGAGGAGTAGGTCTCACTTCCCTGGTCACGTGTATGGGTTAGGATGTGGTTCAGGAGGCTGGGTCACTGTTCTGATTTGTCATGCTCTCTCTTGATGACATGCCTGGTGACCCCTAATTGTCCACTGCCCTCCAATGTGGCCTTCCGTCCCGGCTACTCAAACCTATTGATTGCCTGCTCCAAAATAAGCCAGCTTCTCTTCCCCCTGACTTTTGTCTCCTTGGATCCTGGGCTCAGCTGAGCAGGTGGGAGGAATGGCACTGGGCTGGCAGATTCATGCTGCAGATGGGGAGAGCTGGCAGAAAAGACCCGGGTGGTGGTGGTGCTGGCTGACCGTTGTAACAGGCAGTGCTCTAGTCCAGAAGGGGAAGGGCCGAGTGTGGCCCCTTTAGCGGACAGCACGTGGCCCGGTTGAGAGGATATTGGAGATTCAAGTCCAGGTAGAGGTTTTGGATAAATCATTGATTTTGCCAATAAGGGTTTTAACAGAGCTCCCTGGTGGGGGTTGATAAGGAAATAAAGAGGGGAGGGGACTCAAAGATCCTTGTCTTTGATTCAAGTCCAGTAGCAGCTTGAAGTTCTCCCCTACCCCCCCGCCCCCCCCCCAAAAAAACAGCGACAATAACAACAAAGGAAGGAACCCGCAGAGCATTGCGTTTGAAACCTAGTGAGCTGGATGACCGATCCCTTTAAGCTCTGAGAAGCTGCTGCTCTTTAATGGGAACCCTGCACACTGGTGAGGCCAGGTCCTGTTCCCTTGAACCCCAGGATTCTGGAGCTGGTCCTGGTGTGAACACCTGGGAAGGGTCAGGGCAGAGAAGCATATGGAAAGGCTTATCTTGGGAAGGGAAGGGAGGGTGAAGTAAAGAGGCCAAGGCGGGTCAAGGCCCAGTCAGAGGGTGCTGGTCGTTCCCCAGGTGGATGGGCTTAGGTCAGGCTTTCAGCCTTCCAGGCCCCTCTACCTACGCTACCTAGCACAAGCCCATCGCCCTGGTCCCCACCCTTAGGAAGAGGCAGGTGCAGCTCAGTACTTTATTGGCCTATCCCATCTCTAGATGTTTACAGTGGTGAGCACCAGGGAGTGCATTGGGCTTCCTGTCCTGGGCAGCACAGTGGGCAGACCCACAAACTCCCACCTCAGCTGTCTCCTGATGCTCCGCCAGGTGGGGCTCACATAAGGTACTTCGACTTCTTTTGTAGACTCTCGGTGACTGAAGCCAGAATTGTCTTGTCATCTTTGTCTGAAAGAGCAGAGCCAGTATTAGTGTTGCTGGTGGTACACATGTCTAAGTGCTCAACTACCAACTGAAAGGCTGGCAGCTTGAAACCACCCCACCATTCCACAAGAGAAGACTTTGCCATTGGTTTCCAGAAATATTACAGCCTAGAAAGCGTCATGGGGCAGTTTTACACTAATCACACGGGGTCACCGTGAGTGTGAACTATTCTCAACATCGAGGCGGGGGGCAGGGAAGCCTCTAAACCATGCATTTATCATTACTCCATGAGAGCCAGGAACTGGACCCCATATCCTCTGTTGAGAGGAGACGCTGGTTCCCTAGGGTCAGCTCTGGGGATGGGATCAAGAGCTGCCATTGATTTACTCGGTGCTTAACTAACTGTGAGGCACCCTGCCAGGCACCCTCTTATACTACCTCCTCAACTCCCACAGCAACCATAGGGAGCACATGAAAAAGACAGGCTCCGAGCGGCGACTGGCCTGGGATGCCCAGTGGTAGAGCAAAAGCCCGTGACGCAGGGACGCCTGGAATGAAGCTTGGGTAACTGACCCCTGCCTTCCCTGGCCTAGTTCTGTTATACATTTAGTAGCTAGGCTGGCGGCGGTTGCAGCAGCTCAGTGCCAGACGCCTAGTGAGGCCTCGGGAGCCTGGGCAGTAGGACCTGGCTCCAAGGAAAGGAGTCTGTCACTGGATGAACTAAGGGCAGTAACCATGGAGATGACTACTGTGAGTTTGGGGAGGGGTGTAGGCAGGAGTGTGCACCTGGCACTGGGGTGGGGCGGTGGCAGTAGGGGATGAGGCTTGCAGGTTGGGGGTTCATCATGAGGGCCATGGGGAACCTAGGGGAGAATTCCAGCCAGGGAGCAAGCTTTACATTTAGAAAGTTCACTCTTTAGCTGAAGACATTGGAGAGGATGGGGCCGTGCAGCCTCTGCTTCACTTCCCTTCCGCCTACTCTGGCTGATTCTTTCAATCTCTGTTCCACGTCAGAACATCTTACAAAGTGTAAACAGAGAAACTAGCCTTCTAACAGCAAGTCTAGGAACCCTGGTGGCACGCCATCGAAGCGCTCAGCTGCTAACAGAAAGGTGGGGTGGCTGGCAGCCTAACCCAGTGTTCTTTGGGAGAAACACCTGCCCCCGTGAGGAAGACCGCCTGGCCTAATACCCGTGTCACATGGGCTTGCTATGAGTGGGAGTAACTCCCACACATTAAACAGCCACCAACGAGGTCCAGATAAGACTCCCTCATCCAACCACAGCCCAGGAAGGGGCCCGAACCCGTGCTGCAGGGACTGGGCACAGGTAAGAAACGCCCCGGAGGAGGTGGGATTGGAGATTGTGGCAAGAACTGGTTAGGTGAGGACCCCTGCTGGGCACCAGATCCACTACAAAGGGCTGCCAGCCACAGGAAGGGGCTTGCCCCTGGGTCCCACCCTGGCCATGTGTCCCTGCGGTGGCAGGCGCCCTCACCGTAGACGGTGAGCTCGCAGCTGCTACGGTCCTTGCCCAGCTCATTCTCCACCAACACACTGTAGTTGCCGCTGTCCTTGAGCGTGCAGGTGGGGATGACCAGGGTGCAGACGCCGCTGGTGGAGTTGTACCAGAACTTGGAGTTGGCCGTGATGTTGACGTCCCCTTTGTAGAGGGTCACCGTGGGCCGCGGGTTCCCGAGGAAGGCGCAGGTCATGGTGCAGTCCTGGCCGCGCAGCACCGTGTGCGGCTTGAGCGGGGTCAGGAAGCGCGGTGCGTGGCGCCAGTCCTTCTGCTCATAGGGCTTCAGCTTGGTGCTCAAGTCTTCAACTGCATGGGGGGTGTCCCGTGAGCACCCAACAGTCGCTCCCTAGCCCCCAGCCCCTCCTCGGCCCCCCACGCTGGCCCACTCTGAGCTTGGAGGGTACAGGGGCAGCACCGGCTCAGATGCAACCCCAGTGACGCTGGGCAGTCCCAGGCACCATCAGCTCTGAGGGTTGAGGGCTCTAGAGCTGCACCCCTCCCCCAGGGCTCAGTGGCCACACTTAAGCTTTCCAAGACCCTATCACCTTTGATGCGATTCTAGCCACCAGCTTCCCCCACCTGAGCAGTCATACCTGTTTTTCCTGGGCTTTAAACCATCACTGACATCATCCCACCTCCGGGTTCTCCTCTGTGCTACTAGATGCCTTCTGAGTTTCCCGCACATTATCCCCATCAAATTCTCCTTCCAGGGGTGTCACCCCCTAGAGTCCCTCCTGGTCCTTATTCTTATCGGCCCCCACCTCCTTTCCATCCTCAACCTTCCTCAAAGGCACCCCAAGGGTGCAATGATTAAGAAGTCGGCTGCCAACTCAAGGCCAGGCAGTGGAGCCCAGCAGCAGCTCCCAGGAAGGAAGGACTCGTGAAGATTGTACAGGTCACTTCCATCGAGTCGGTGCTAACTCCAAGCGACCCTATAGGACAGGGTAGAACTGCCCCTGTGGACTTCCTGTGGGACGAAGTGTTTATGGGAGTAGAAAGCCTGTTTTTCTCAAACGGAGAAGCTGGTGGTTCCCAACTACTGACCTTGTGGATCACAGCCCAACCCATAACCACTATGCCACCAGGGCTCCTCTGTGAAGAGGAAACCCCGTGGGGGCAGTTCTACTCCGTCCTCCCTATGGGGCCTCCAGAGCTCGGGACTGGCCGGCTTCTCACCTGGCTTCCCTGACGTGAAGCTTACCACCTCAGCGGCTCTCATTTGATTTCATCTCTGGGTCCCCCTGCTGCCCATACGTCATCCCTGCCACCAGGGCTCCCAGAAGGAACCCGAACCTCCAAATACCCTGACTCACTCTCATCCTTGTTGATAAGCCAGGTATCCTTGGAGTCGAGTGGGTCGCTGTCACCAATTTCGTTTCGGGCCACTACTCGGAAGTAGTACTTGCGGCCTGGGAGTAGCCCGGTCACGGTGTACTTGTTGCTGAAGACCCGATCGGCGGCCGTGAACCAGGTGGCGGTGCTGGCGTCCCGCTTCATGATGATGTAGTGGGCCTCGCCGTCCTCCTGCACATCGGGGCTGTGGTTCCATGTCAGAGTCACCGTGTTGGGAACCTCCTCAAACAGCTTCAGGTTGGTTGGTGGCCGGGGGATATCTAGACCGGTGAGAAGGTCCATCAGCCACGCGGAGGACACTGCCTGAAGTAGTGTGTCCTGACCGGCCCTGCTGGCCAAGCCACGTCTCTGCTCAGACTCAGGCCTCTGGATCATGGAGTCAGAACTCTCTGTGAACCGCAGGTCTGCACCACGACCGTGGGCAGTTAGTCGTCTGTCCCACCTCACTTGCAAAATGGGGCTCATGGTATTCCGCATTTCTTAGGAAGATTGGGTAAAGGGACTGGTGCGGGGTAACTGTGGCATGCACGTTGTTCATCCCTTCCTTCCTCGGGGGCTTCGGGGTCTGTTATAAAGCTGCTAGTCCTGGACACAGGGTGGGCTACAGGCTGGGTTGCTAACCAAAGGGACAGCAGTTGGAAACCACCAGCCGCTCTCTTACTCCCAGGAAGAGTTTGTCTCAGAAACCCACAGCGGCAGTTGCACTGTCCTATCCGGACACTCCGAGTCAGAATTGACTGGATGGCAGGGAGCTGTTTTGTTTTTCAGCCCCTTCTTCACTAAGAGATCACCCCCATTTTTATACACTTCTCTTCCTCCCCCTGCCCCTCACTCATTCTCTGCTCTTCCTCTGCTGACCATATTCTGCACAAGATCCGACTGGAGGGAGCACCCCACGGCTAAGGGTTAGGCCCTGGTTCAGTGCCTCCAGGCCTTTGGGAGTTTGAGAGAAGGCTGGGCAACACCCCTCTCCACCGCGACTGGCTGATGAAGGCTTGCTTGGTGGTGCCAAAGAGAAGTTGCCAACCATTTTCATGGGCACAGTTTCATGGCCTTGATAATATGAATCACTCTGCAGCCACCACTAACAGAGGGCCACGTTTCTCATCGCCAGGAAAAGAAAGGCCTCCCACACAATGACTCCATCTGCCCGTCTCTCTCCTGCCCTTTGGTAGCCACTAGTAAACGCCGATATCTGTCTCTGTGCTGAAGACACAACTCTCTAGTGGGAGGGACCCAGGCAGCAGTGGGGAGCTCTACTCAGGAGGGTGCATGGGGATATCCCCACCAAGCCCCCGCCAGGGTGGGTACCTGCCACGCGCACGTGGATGTCGTAGTGTGCTTCTCCAAACTCATTCTGGAGCAAGATGCGGTACACCCCCGAGTCCGAGCGCTTGGTGCTGTTGATGAGGAACTGCGAGTGGTTTTTGCTCTTGGTGATGGCTTCCCGGCCTTTGGTAGGGATGCCGTCTTTTTGCCAGATCACATTGGGTGGTGGTGAGCCCTAGAGAGGGGCAGGAAACGGGCACCAGGGGTCACCCCGGTGGAATGTGGAGCCAGGCCCTCCCCTACATTGAGGAGCGGCCTGACGGGCTCCATTGCCAAAGGCCAGGGGTGGGGTGGGGTCAGAGAAGGAGGCGGATGATGATGACAACACACAGGGAGCAGCCATGCTGGTGACAGGAGGTCCACGGAGGCCAGGGGAAGGGAGTGACTCACGGAGAAGGCTGCATGGATGCAGAGGGCTGTGCCCGCACGAACCACCATGTGACTCTTCAGCCGGGCACTGAGGTCAAACTTGGGGGCCGCTGAGATGGAGGATAGAAAAGCAGCCTCAGCGTAAGCCTTTTACTTCCAAAGCGGTTCCTAACTTCTCCTTCATGCCCCGACGACAGGCCATGCCGCTTGCAGCACAGCCCTGCAGCCCTGTGAGGCATGCGGATGTTTGCTCTGACTTTCAGACTACACCGCTAAAGGACAGTCCAGTGTGGGGTTTCAATACCCATGACACCGAGTGGCTCACAATGGGCACTGTTGGGCACACAGTTTTTTGTTGTTGTTGCTGAGGAGCTAGGCTGACTCCTAGCGCTGTCCTGAAGTATGGATGACCGTGTTTTGATCACAACACTGTTTGAGTCTTCCGTGTGAGGTGAGGCCCAGGGACATCCCCCCTTCCCTCCCCCAGCCTTCTTTCTCCCTGCCCTCACCTGGAGGTGGCATGGCACGGACCCCCTCATCCAACTCCACAGGCTCTCCGACCCCAGCCTCGTTCACAGCCCGGATCCGGAAGAAGTATTTCTGCCTCTCCGTCAGGCCGCCCACTGTGTAGCAGGTGCCTGAGATGGGGATCTTGGTGCACTTGGACCACTCCTTGCTGTCTTCAGCCCGCATCTCCAGGATGTAGCCAGAGGGCGGGTCTCCCTCTGCAGGCTCCTTCCAGCCCAGGGAGATGCTGGAGTTGGAGGAATCTGACACATGTAGGCCCTGCACCAGCCCTGGGGGTTCTGGGGTGTCGCAGAGAGCCAGTCAGTCCCTGGACGCACCCCCTCTCAATCCCATGTTCATACCACCCTCTGTATCCAGGAACTCTCACTCCGCCTCTTCTCCCCTCAACTCCCAGGCAATAGTCTTCATACCCAGCGCCCTTATAACCCCCCAGAAATTCCATTAATCAATTCAACATTGTTCCCTTGAATTTAAAACCAATAAATCCTAACCATTGTCATCAAGTTAATTCCTATTCATCGTGGTCCAGCAGGACAGGGTAGAACTGCCTCAGGGGCTTCCTAGACTGTCCATGTTTACAGAAGCTGACTGCCACATCTTTCTCCCATGGAGGGCCTGGGGGTCAGAACCAGCAACTTTTTTTGCTAGCAGTCCAACACCATGGGCCACTGGGGCTCCTGCTTGAAATAGAATACTTCTTCTACATGCCCCAGACACTCAGGCCTTCGATCTTCAAAACTTCGGCTTTTAAACCCAGCCCTCTGTCCACATTCACTCACATAAAGCACCGCCACCCCATATCTCCTAAACTCAAAACCTCCCCCATCATCCACCCAACTTCCCCAATCTGCAAACACCCTCTGATACCTCAGGAATACTGGAAGTGTCATCGAAACTCTTCCCATCCTACCTCCTTGCTGTCTCCCAACTCTCAGTCTTTGCATATTTGCTGACTATGTCTATTAGGTGAATCTGCCCCTCTATCAGCACCCAGCGACCTTGTGAGCCCCGCTCAGACGGTCAGGGACACAGACCTTCCTTTGACCGTAAACTGGCTAATTCCAGGGTGTGTGGGAGTCAGCCGCATACGTACTGACGGGGTCCTTGGCCACCACCGAGGCGGATGGCAGACTGGGCTGTCCAGGGCCTGCTTTATTCACAGCTATGACTCGGAATTCATATTCCGTGTCCTCCAGTAGGCCATCCACAGTGCACTTGGTGTCTGAAATGGGAAGGCAAGGGGTCGGGGTCAGGGGGGCTCCGGACCATGGAAGAAAGGCCATTACAACACCCCAAGCAATGTGTGGGTGCGTGTGTATTCAGATTGCTGGAGTTACCTGAGCCACCCAGCCAAGCTCTCTCCATCCCTGCTGGGCTTCTATCCCAAGAACTCACCCTGGATGGGGTCCTTGTTGACTGGCACCCACAGGTTACTGCCTTTCTTTCTGCGCTCCACAATGTAGCCAAGCACGGGGGCTCCCCCATCCTGAGTGGGGGTGTTCCATGTGATGGTAATAGCCTCTTTGGTCACATCGGACACTTGGGGCTGCGAGGCCAGACCGGGTGGCTCTGTGGAGGGCAGAGGTTAAGAGAGGACATATGTAGATAGTTGCCTACTCTGTACTGGACTCTGCTAACCTGACAGCCTTCAGAGAGTTCAAACAAAACACTACAACAACGAGTGTCTGGGTCCACTGCCAGATCCTCTAACTGACCTGAGGCATCAGCACTTACAAAACAAAACAACCCAAGTGATTCTAACGTGCAGCCAGAATGGAGACTCGCTGCGTTCCATCCTCCTCAAAGCCAGTTATCTGTGTGTCATCCAACACCCCGAGATACGGAGGGGTGCTGTAAGTCATGGATTAGTGATAACAGTTAGATGGAGAAGTCTATTGAGGGGGTTCCTTTGGGGAAGAAAAAAAAAAAACCTAAACAAAATCAGAGTGGTTTCCAGGTTAGCTCTAAAGCTAACCACCCTCACTAGGATTCTGGGGGGATTTCTGGAATGGAGAAACGGAGTGAGTCCTTGCTTGCATGGTGCACAGTTCTGGATGGTGTGATCTGACGAGAAAAAAGTTGGGAACTCGGGCCCTCCGAAGGCTACAGCCTTAACTCTGGGATTGGTCTGTTTTATGGGCTGACTAGAGAGATGATGCCCTGGCATTCCCACTGACTGAAGGACCCATCCTGACCCTGAGGTCACCCACCGAGCACTGGGCGCTCTCACTGACCGATGGGATTTCCGGCAAACACTTCGTCAGTCTCCAGTGGGTCGCTCACACCTTCTGAGTTGACTGCCATGATCCGGAACTGGTATGCCTTTCCCTCTTCCACCTTGTTGGTGGAGAAGTTGGTGACTTTGCTGCCCACCTCGCCTATCTTAATCCAGGACTTCTTGCCGACGGCTCTCCGCTCCACTATGAATTGTGTCACAGGTCGCCCCCCATTGTCCTTTGGGGCTTTCCACTTCATGTGCACACAGTTCCCCGAGAGCTCGAGGAACTCCACCCGGCCCTGTGGAGGCTTGGGACGGTCTGGGGAGAGACGGCAGCTTTAGGATGGAGCCCAGGATCCGAGGGCCCCCCTTCCAGGCACTGGAGAGACAGCCCTGACTGTGGTTTAGCTGGATTCTGACCTTTCTGGATCCCTCAACCTTTCCTGTGTCCGTCGCTCCTCCTTTGAAGACTTGGCCCAGAGAATTTGACCCTTGCCTTCGCAGCTTCTTCCCTGCCTAGGAATGGTGGTCTGGAGACCAGAGGGGCTCTTGCCTGGGTGGACACACCTTCCCCTTCCAGACACAATCTCCTCTCTGATATTCCGGAACTCTAGTACGTTCCGCTATCCCAGTTTACCTTAGATTACCTTCCTAATGCCGCGACCCTTTAATATAGTTCCTCATGTTGTGGTGACCCCCAACCATAGAATTATTTTCACTGCTACTTCTTTCAAACGGGGAGCCTCTTGGTGGAGAGACTTAGCTCATTGCCCAAGGCCGCTTAACTAAGAAGTGAGATTCTGGTTGCAAAGCCATTTCCAACCCTCCCTTCAAACTCTTTCCCAGGCCCGCCTTCCACGCTGTGGGCTGGGCAGTCCAGCGGGCCCTGCCCTCACCTAGCACACTGAGATGCAACGTGGCTGTGGCCGTGCCGTGGTCATTCTTGAGCCTGAGCAGGATGACCCCGCTGTCCTCGCGCACGCAGTGTGAGATGGTGAGCAGCGCCTGATCCTCCCCTCGCCCCATGGACACGCGCTCCTCCTCTGTCACTTCCACGCCGTCCTTATACCACGTCACTTTGGGTAGCGGCTTTGCCCGGAAGGGCACTTTGATGTGTGCCGTGTGGCCCACCTTCACGGTCACGGGGTGCGCGGCCAGGGCCTCCAGCACCGATGGGTCGATGGTGGGGGGATCTGTGGGGGCGGGGCAGGGAAGGCCAGCCCCACCACGGGAGAGGGATACACTGGAGGGGATGTGGGATGGGCACGGGCCGAGGGCTTGGGGGCGGGCCCAGCCTTGGTCGAGCTGGTCTGCAGAGCGCCATGACCTTACCTGCTATGAACACCGAGGCCTCACTCTCGGCGCCCTTGGCCCGGAACGTGTACTTGCCCTCGTGCTCGGGGCCCATATTGGGGAAGATGAGTTTGTGTACTGCGCCCTGTTTCACCACCTGAATGCCGGTGAAGTCCGTGATCTGGGGGCGAGGGATGGCCACGCTGGAGCACGGTGGGAGGCCAGGGTGACCCCGCCCTCCGTCAGACCCGATCCCGGCCCCTGCCTCCGACCTCCTTGCCGTCCTTCAGCCACACGCCCTCCACCTTCTCGTCGTTCAGCACCACGCACAGCTCGGCGGGGCTTCCCGTGGCCGCGTGCACGTCGGACAGGCCGCTCTTCACCGTGGCCAGACGCTCTGGGCAAAAGAAGGGGCCGAGATGGGTCAGGGCGTCGGGGTGGGAGTGGCTTCTGAGAACAGGGGCTGGTGGCAATGGTCTTGGGAATGGCGAGCGCCGCCCTGATGAAGATTCTGGAGGATCGAGGAGGCGCTTTGAAAATGGCCACTGAGAGATTGGGGGATGGTGAGTAGGGGGAGGGAGGAAGGGACTGGGGCATGCAGGCAGTGACCAAGGGGCAGGTCAGTAAGGGGGGGAGGGAGGCTGGGGGTAAGTCAGGGACCTGGGGAAAGGGCCACCAGGACGATGGGGATGGGTGAAGGGGTGGGGTGGACTTGGTGGGGGAACTGATCAGTGGAGGTGCTCAGTGGAAGGGGACCAGATGAGAGCATGCAGGTGGGTAGTGGAGCTGGGGGTGTTTCCTGGTGGCTGTGGAAGTGTTTATGGGATGGCCAGGGTCTTATGGAGTTCAGGGTGGTCAGGGTCAAGGGGTTTGGGACAACCAGGGTACGGAAGCTGGTGACGGTCTGGAAGTGAAGGCTGGTTGAAGTGAAGGGATCCGGGGTGACCAGGGTAGGACGATGTGGCTGGTGAGGGTCTAGGAAGTAGCCATGTGCAGGGGCTGGGAGGTTGGCAATGGCTGGAATTTGGGAAACAGGAGTGTTTCGAGTGGGAAGCTCAAGCATGCTCACAGTCTGGGGGCATATGGGATGCAGCCAGTCATGGGGCGGATCCGTGCCCGCGGTCAGGAAAGGCCCTGGTAAGGGGTGGCATGGGCAGCGGAGACTGGCGTAGGGTGTATGTACCCTCCACGGTGACCACGGCAGTGCTGTAGTATTCCGTGGGGTCCCCGTCCTGCATGGCCACCACAGTGTACTCGCCGCCATCGCTGAGCTGGGCGTCCTCGATGATTAGCTCTGCCCGCTTGCCCTCATGGTTCATGCTGTACTTGTTGCTCCGCTCCAGCAGCTGCCCGTCCTTCCTCCAGCGCAGGGTCACGTCCTTGGACGTCAGCTCACACTCAAGGCACGCTCGGCTCCGCTCTTTCACCCGCACGTTTTTGAGGGTACTTACAAACTTGATGGGGATGCCTGAGGTCAGACAGGCAGGCAGACAGACAGACGCTTGGGTCTAATGCTCTTTCCCCTGCAGCTTCATGCCACCCCAGAAAACACAGGCTCTTGTGAGATGGAATGTGCTTGTGTCTAACAGGTGACCCGTGGGGTCACTTGGAAGGGGGAGTCTCAGCTCTGGCCTTTACTTGCTAGTTGGCTTCAGGCAACCCGAGTACCCCTCCAAATCTTGGTCTCCTTAGAAGTAAGACAGGATAACCACCTCACCCCTTCACACGGCTATAATCCATATTACTGATGTCCCTACTGAAGGTCCACCGGGAAGCCCCTTAGTACACATGTCTCTGTCTGAGTGTTTCCTTATTTGGAGAAGGGTCTTTGTGGAAGTGATGAAGTTAGAGATCTTGAGATGAGGAATCATCTTGATGGTCTGAAAGGGCCCGAATGCAGTGACAAGTGTCTAAATGAGAGTGGGACTGGGGGAGATGACATAGATTTGGGAAGTGGAGAAGGCAGTGTGACCTTTATGGAGGCAGAGATTGGAGTGGCGAGGCCACACCACCAGGAGCTCAAAGAGGCAAAGAATGGATTCTCCTCTGCAGTCCCCAGTGGGGAGTGGTGCTGGGCTGGAGCACAGACCGCTGGCTTCCAGAACTGCGAGGGGACCCGTTGCTCTAGTTGCCAGCCACAGGGAACGAGGACGGCCCCCGAGAGCCGTGTATTTGCATGGTCTGTCTCTTTGGTGCCTGTGACTTTGTTCTGCTGGTCCCTCTACTGGGAGTCCTGTTTTTTTGCTGAGCTTAGACAATCGCCCCACTTCTGACCTCCACAGGTGGTGGCCCCTCCCCTTTGTGCTCCTGTGACAGGGCCCTGAGGTGCAGGTCACCCGTGGGGCATATATTCATGGCGGACCTACTCGCCCGCCATCAGGTGCACCTCCCCACCTGAGCCTTACTAGAATGTGAGCAGTCAAAGGGGCCATGATGTGCTAGAATATACGTCATTAGAGCCAAGAAGGTCAATGATTTCTTGAGCCACGATCTCCTAGCTGACAATAAGACCCTGCTGTGATTCCTTGCTTGAGAACCACGGTTTTCATCTCTTTCTCTATCTGCCCCTAGGAAGTAAAGGAGAGGAGGACCCTGTCTATCCACCCAACACCCACCTCAGGGCACAGGGAGGAGGAGATGAGTGGGTGTCTGGATGGATGGATGACTGCCCACATGCGGGTTGCTATGGTTAGAAGCCCACCCTTCAGCCGATGGCCCAACCACTCACGGTCAATGGTGAGCTGGGCCTTCTGTACCAGGCCCCCCGCCTCGGCGGAGAACTCGCCCTTGTCGCTGAGTCTGGCGTCCTTGATCTTCAGTGTGTGGGTCAGACCGTCCTCAGACACCAGGATTTCATATTTCTCATCTCTCTTCAGTTCCTTCCCATTGAATTTCCACACAAAGTTGGGCACTTTTTTGGAGAGGCGGATCTCGAACACGGCTGTCTGGCGCTCCGTCACCTTCACTGGCTGCATCTCTCCCAGGAACTTTAGCGGCTCGTCTGCAGGCAGGGCAGGAGGATTGCCTTGTGGACCCCTCGGTCCCTCCCTCATGAGCAGGAGGATGGTGAGGGCAGCATGGGGACCCAGGCGGGGGAAAGTGCCCTTCCTCTCCTTCCTCCCACTTGGGATCCCTGCTCCCTCAAAGTCCTTTGCCAGGTTTTTTCCACGGCCTCCTCCCCAGTCATGTTAACTGCGACACTTCACGTTCACCAAATAGTTATGTGGGTTTAGATAGGAGCCGGCTATTGTTTTAGTCATCATCGACACATCCCCTTCTTTAATTCTCCTAGCTTACAGTTGACCCCAAGGAGCCTGGCTCCAGGATCTGCGCCCTTAACTACTCTTCTCTACTGCCCACGGCACTTAGGATCCCCAAGGCCTCTTTGTGGCATGGCCACATTGCCTTCCCGTGGACTCCCATCCCCATGCGATTCTTTCCGGCCTAGCCCCACAATCTCCCATACCCGTGGGCCATCTCCTGACCGCATCCCCCATGTGCACCCTCCTGATGCCCACACGCATACCCAGCACTGTGAGCTCTGCACTCATCCTCTTGTCGCCCACGGACAGGCTGTAGATGCCCGCGTCGTTCATATTCACGTTGGTAATGATGAGCATATACTTGGTGCCCATCTGCTTCACATCGTACTTGCCCAGGGAGTACTGGATCCTCAGTGGCTCAGTACCCTGCCTCATGGGACAGGTAGGAATGCTGATAAGGGATTCAGGAGGAGACCCAGAGCTTCCTGCTTCCCAGAGCTAATGGGAGCTGGAGGATTCCCCGGTAAGCTTCCCAGACACACCAAGAGACCCCTCAGATGTCTCTAGTCTCATCATTCGGCTCAGTGGAGTCTGGCGTTCTTGCACACGCACTCCCTCAAGCAATGTGCAGACATTTTTGAGGTGCTTTCTTTTAGAAGCCATGACCTTCAGTGACCTTGAGAACTATCTAACCTAGCCCTTCCAGGTTCCAGATGAAATGTCTGTGATTTTTAGAGGGGCCATGACTGTCTCAAATGACACTGGCCCCGGCTTTGAAAACCAAGAATCGGACCCGGCAATGACTCAGCCTCTTCCAATCATAACGGGAGGCATCGGCTTGGTAGCGAGAAAGCAAAGCTGCTGCTGCTGGGTCATGAGAAAGCCTGAGAAGGGAGGAGTGTAGAGGAGAGACGCCGCCGCCCACGTGAGTCCCGGCCAGGTGTCACCTCACCTTGATCCATATCATTTTGATATTGGGGTCCTTCAGCTCCAAGATGCAGTCAAAGGTTACCGTGGTGTCAATCTTGGTCTCGATGTCTTCCAGGGGCTTCAGAATCCGGATGGCCTGAAAGGTGGATCATAAAGTAGTAGAAGTCAGGGGCATCTGAAGCCTGCCCTAATTGAGCCCCCAATCGTGGAAGACCTCCAAGGATCTGGGGAGAAAGCCTAGTAGGATCAGACAGCAGCCCCCTGTGGACCCAGGGGAAGATTCAGGGGGCGAAGGGGATGACAAGAATGAGTAAGTAGGAACCTGTCGATTGACCATGGGACAGTCTCTAGCCGCCGGCTCCCTGCCCCACTGACCTCCACCTCCACTTTCTTCTTCATCTCTTTGAGCTTCTTGAGCAGACCCCGGAAGTCCGTGAAACCGTACTCCATGCAGACCTTCTCAAAGTCTTTCTTAGGCACCTTGGACAAAATCTCCAACATTTCTTTCTCATCTGTCACTTTCTTCTGCTTTTTCTTAGGAGCAGGGGGAGCCCTGGGAGGAGGGGGAGACCAAGCATGGACTCACAACCTCTCCTTGAAGACCAGGATCTTGGAGAACCTTTCCCAACATTGAGATGGCTCCCCTCCCTGGGGGAATGCACCCTGGGGGAAGGGCCGCCCAGCCTTCACCTTTTCTTCAACATCTTTTTGAAATCCATTTTATCTTGACCTAACAACAGAGAGAGGGGTCAGTAGCAGACAGGGCCCAATCTGGCCACTCAGGGGAGAGAGCAGGAGTGGGAAGGCTCACCCTCCGTCACCAACAGGGACACGGTGTAGATGGCATCCGCGTGATCGTTGCTGGCAATGCACTTGTAGTTGTCAGAGTCATCGGAGGTCAGTGGCTCTAGCTGGATCAGAAGCAGGACATTAGTGAGGGAGAGGGGAGAGAGCCTTGGGGAAGGGGTGCTTCTATGAGAGGGGGAAGGGAGCCAGGAATGGGGTCTATGAGGGGAGGGTTGAGCAGCCTCTAAGGCAGTGGTTTTCAACCTTCCTAACGCTCAGAGCCTTTAATACAGTTCCTCATGTGGTGGGGACCCCCCCAACCATAAAATTATTTTCGTTGCTACTTCATCACTGTCATTTTGCTACTGTTATGAATTGGGTGACCCCTGTGCAAAAGTCTTACAACCCCCAAAGGGGTCGCGACCCACAGGTTGAGAACCGCTGCTCTACGGCTTGGATACACAGTCGGTGTGAGTCCATGTGTGTTTGCAGACTGAGCCCCCAGCAGTAGGACTGTTTCCTCAGCGGATGCTTCTTCGCTGCGAGCTCCGGGAAGGCAGGGGCTGACTTCTGTCGGAGTTCTCACCTCTGCCTGCACTGCTGGCATTGGGCGGAGGTTGCCTTTGTTTAGCACGTGGAGGGGGCTTCATAAAGTTCATGGGAAGACAGTGGGCTTTCCCCATGGCCCTTAGGAAGCCTTCTCCTAGCTTTCCCGTAGCAGGTGCGGACTGGGCTGGGCCCCTGAGGAGTCCGTGGTGAAGAAGGTAGCATGCATACAGCCTGCATGAATGAGACCAGTAGGGGCTTGGGGTCTGATAGTGTGTGCTGTGTGGCCATGGATAGGGTCTTTGGGGAGTAGCAGAAACCAATCTCTTTCTGTGGGGGCAAGAGGGAAGCTCTTTGCCTTTCACAAGATGTCCAGGGAAAGACCAGTCGGTCTTGCTCTCTCGGTTTTGCTCTCTCCCTGACCCGTCCAGCCTCCTCTCCAGAGGACCTGGGGCAAAGGCTGCAGCCCCGGCAGGCCCAGCGCTGAGCAAGTGGGGAGAAGCTGGTGAGTCCCAGGCATGGCCAGCTCTTAGCAAGATTCTTCTGGGGTGCTCAGCTGAGGAGTGCAGGAGCCCTGACCTTCATTTCTGCTCTAGGACCAGTCCCACCCTCCCACCTGGCCCGGTCCGCCTATCCCAGCCTGGCTGCTCAATAAGCCCTCCCCACCCCCCCACCTTCTAGTGGCCTTGGGCTCCCTTTCTTGTCTTCCTGACTCCTCTTTCTGGCTTCTGCATCCTGGACCTTGCGGTCTTGCCCCCAAGTTTGGTGCCCCAGCTTCCTGGTACTCCCCGGCAGCAGACTCTGACTGGGTTTCTCTCATTCCATTCACCCTCTAGAGCAATGGGCTTGGGCATGTAACCGTGAGTCACCGGGGTTCCATAACTATCTATACGGAGTATTTTAAGCTGATAGCGTAACACATTAGCTGTGGTCATCTGAGTGGTGGGTGTCTATTATAATAATTTTCCTGTGTGTTTCATACAGATACGTGCACATATTCATCATAACTTTAAGAAAGAACGCTGCCGCATCCCAGGCTTCAGAAGGCCTCAGGCTAGCTTTGTCAGCCTGGCGATGGACAGACAACAAAAGGATCCCAGGCTGGAACCCCTGCTGGGCTGTGGGAGGCGGGTACCTTTGTTCCCACAGCTCCCATCTCGGGTTGCCTTGGTGCTTCTGGTCTATGAGAGCACAGGGGGCTCCCAGGGGTCCCTGCTCTGGCTCTCCACCCCCTACGCCCCCCGCCGCACCTTCAGCACGTGCTCTTTGTTGATGCTGTCGTAGAAAATCTTGGCGGACTCCTTGATGGGGAGGCCACTCTCCCTCTTCCAGGTGATGTTGGGTTTGGGCTTCCCCTGCACCTGGGCTCGGAACTCAGCTTTGTCTCCTGCAGTGGACACAGGACCCAAGCCTCACCTCCCACACCCAGGCTGGGTCCTCCCTTCCCTCCCAAGGACTCGGCTGGGTCCTGCTAGGCTCTGCTCAGGGTGGGGGATTAGGGTCAGAGAGGCAGGGAGACGGGGGAGCAGCGCACCCTCCGGTGAGGTGACCGGGCGGGGCTTCTCCACGAATTCAGGGACGCTCTCCCCAGCAGGGATGTCTGTGCTCCGGCTCACCAAGCTGAAGAACTCCACCGTGCTTGAGGTTTTTCTGGTCACTTCCTCTGTGGGGGGCAGGGCAAGAGGTCAGCTGGGATTGGAGGGTCACCTTTTCATGAGGGGATGGTGGACAACAGGCATTGAAAGCCAAGATGGGGGGAGGGGGAGGGGAGGGCAGGACCTGCTTTGGTCCCAGGAGGGGCACTGGGAGCCCCTGGGTCATTGTGTGATGGCAAAGTTACAGCATCAGAGGGCGCCAATGTCATTTCTCCACCGTTCAAGGTCAGTCCCCTTTATTAGGCCATGCCCCACAGTTTTGCTTCTTTTTATTTAGGGTCTTATTGTGTCTTCCTTGCCTCTCTTTTCAGGAGATGAATCTTTTGGGGATTTTTCTTGATTTCTTGGGCTTCTCTCCTGGAAGCCCTGGTCCCCCGTTGCATTAAGACGGACACAGTGCTAAGCCTTCTGGCGATTCTGTGGGCTGGGCACTCACTGCTATTGGAATGGTGGCTCTGGGTGGGTGGGGATAGAACATGCTCCTATTCCAGTGGGGCTGTCTGTGGGGATCTCTGTACTGGAAGCGCACACCAGTGTGGTAACATAATTGTACATTTGGAAGACAGAACAGTATGGTGGCCCTCTCCCCCACTACAATAGGTTATAGGAGCCCTGGGGTAGTAGTGGTTATGCATGAGGTTGCTAACTGCAAGGTCAGCAGTTTGAAACCACCAGCCGAGCCTCGTGAGAAAGATGAGGCTCTGGACTCCTGTCAAGAGTTAGTCTTGAAGAGTCTCAGGGAGCAGTCATGCCCTGCCCTATAGGCTTGCCCTGAGTCTCTGCAATGAGTTTGATTGTGGACCATAGACTATGGCAAATCTTGGCTAGTAGGTCATCAGTTATGCCCTGGGGGCTCACTGGTCGAGCTGATGGACTTCACGTAGCCGCTCCTTGGGGGAAAAGACCCGATGACCTGCTCCCAGAAAGTGCCCCGCCTGTAGAACTCCGTGGGGCCAGTCTGCTCTGCTCCGTGAATTGGAGTTGGCTTGACGGCCCCCAGTGACAACAGTGTGGCTTCCTGAGCACTCTCCTCGTGTCAGGAACAGCAATAAGCACATCTGCTTCTATTGGATTCTCACAGTATCCCAGTGAAGTAGGTAACTATTACCCCCACTCTTCTGCAGCATTGAGATGAGGCAAGGTCTCTAAGCTGCCCTTACTACCTTGAAATAGTGACCCGGGGTCTCAAAGAGACTGCATCTGGCCTGCAGATGTTTGACAAGGCCTCCGAAGTTTAAGCCAAGTCCCTCCCTCCCTCTGAACATTGGGAAATGGCATAGGACCATTACAGATGTCTGTAATGTCTCAGCCTTGGATCGGTACCCCACATGGTCACAAACAGTAGGAGGGAAGAAGTGGCAGCCCTCTTGACGTGGGCTACATCTCCTCCAGTTCACTCAGGTCTGCTGCCCAAATGTCTGTTTCCTGCCCAACTCTGACTGCCTAGGAGAACCCCCCACCATCCACCCCGCAGAACTGGCAGGAACACCTGATTGAGAAGTACTATTCCCTGCCCCCCCACCCCGCCTCCCTGCACACTAAGATGATTCTAATGTGCACCCAAGGTTGAGAATCACTGCTAGAAACACTTGAATTTGCAACATCCGGTCTTGACTCTAGTCCTTGAGTCCTTGCTCTTCCGTTTGTCCTGACTCACGGACCAGGACCAGGAGGGGTTGGTGTGAAGAGTCTTCATCTGGACTTGACCTCTGTCCACGGAGGACTTTGAGAGACTGCCCCTCCGGGATTTGAGGGAGGGGCCATGACTGTGCACAGATATCCAATATCCTGGCCCCTGGCCACTTGGCAATCTCTCTCCACGAGAGACAGGATGGAAACAGTTTGTTCTGCTGGGCGCTCATTCCTCGGCCTCCCCTTAAAACTGCCACCTCCCAAGTTTGGTTCCCAAGGGCTGAGGGTTTGGGAGGTTAGGGCACTTGTTTAGGTCACTCATCCGCGCGCCCCCCGCGCGCCCCCCACAGTCTGGAGTCTCCTATCAAGTAGAGCAGGGTCCTCATTACTCATATGTAGGTAGTTAGGGTGGCGACCCCACTACCTTACCCAGACCTGCCATTCTACCATCTGAGACATGGTTCCCCAGGCTCCGGCTCTGATCTCTCTGAGCAATTAAGCCTTTATCTGTCGCTCCCACACACCCACGTGCCTTGCTTCTTTCTAAACCATTTTCCTGGAGCTCTAGTGTTCCTGTGACCATCGGCCGGCTGACGCTTGACCAAAGCCGATTGGGAGCACAGGCTGGGAGAAGGACCTTGTAAGTAGCTCAGGTCCCGGAAAGCCCAGAGTTTCCAAGCCTGAGGCCACCCAGGCGGTGGCTGTGGACAAAGGAAGCTGCTCTTGCTGGCTGCCCCTCCCCACTCCACTTGCCTCCCATGATCTTGGTTGTCTGGGAGAAGGTCTGCACGTGGGTGGTGGAGCTAGAGCTGAACTCCATGGACATGCGCTCCTGCACCATCTGCTTGTGGTGAATGGTCGTCGTCATGGTGACAGCAGGCGTAGGCACTCACCTGTGAGGACCGGGGAGAGGATGAGGTCATGAAGGATGGGGAAGGAGTGGGCGGATAGGCAGAGATGTTCGTGTGTCTGTGTGCGAGTGTAGGACACAAAGAGAGGTGGATGCCCCCAGGAGAGGGCCAGGGGAGAGGAGGTCTGGGTGCAAGCCCCTCCTCTCTCCATTTCACATTGCCCTGTTCTTGGTTGAGTGCAAGGACAAAAAGCCTGTCGCCCCACCAAGTAACCCCAAAGGACCCCATGTTCTCAGAGGAAAGAAAACCAGGGCTTTGGCTTACTCACAGAACCAAGTAAGGCCCAGAGGGACTGGAGGATACTTGGTGATAGCTACATGGAACGAGGAAGGGGGCAGCACCAGGTGTTTCACCGAGAGGAATGAAGTCAGGCAGAAGGGACTTTCTGAACAAGTCATCCCCGACGGGGCCTTGGCAGGAAGTGGAGGATCATCTTCCTGGACCCCTGGGACCCCTGGCAGCCGGGAAATGCTAAGACAGATGGAAACACATGTCTACAACCCTGCTTTCATTTGCAAAAGGATCTAGTCAGAGGGGTAGTGTGTATTTTACAGCTTTTAATGTTGTTTTTTTTAAAGGAGCCTGGCTGATGCAGTTTGCGATCATCTGCCGACCTAAAGGCTGGTAGTTTGAACCCCCCCAGCAGCCCCCTGGGAGCACCACCTCGTGGGAATCTGCATCTGTGGACGTTACAGCCAAGAAAGCCCTCGGGACCAGTTCGACTCTCTAACCTGATGGGGCTGCCGTGGCGTGGAAAGGACTCCACGGCCACAGGGTTGTTTTTCTGGAAGTCCGTAACTCAATCATGTGAAGCAGCACCCTCTCTCCTGAGCCCCGCCCCTTCCATGTCCCACTCCTCTCTCAGCTCACGGTCTCAGGCCTTTGGGAGGGCCTTCCAGTCCGTCGGGATCTGTATTTTTGATCCTTCCTTTCTTCACAAACATGTAAGATTTGAAAGACAAAAAACGAGACACCTGGCTCTGCCTTTTAATTTCATCTCTCCAGACCGGCTCACAGGAAGTTTCCTCACCCTGGTTGTGAACGGCCAGCTCACGGCAGTTCAACGCACGCCCCCGCCAGCATTGATCCCAGCACGGTAGATTTACATGGTGCGCAGCAAGAAGCTGACGTCCCAGAGGAAAGAACCTGACTGGCGCCACTCAGACCGGTACCCCTCCAGGGCACCCAGAGGCTTGCTTCTGAGATAGGCAGGGAGTCGGAGGGCTGTGACTCAACTTTACCTGTCCCTTTCCACCAGGATCACGTCTGCCTGCGGGCTTCTGGGTGCTCACTGAAGGGTCAAGGGGTTGAGTCTGCCTAGAGGCACCTCAGAAGAAAGGCCTGGTGATCTGCTTGTGAGAAATCAGCCGGTGCAGCCCCCTTCTCCCGTGGAGCGGCTCTACTCGGACACACAAGGTCGCCAGGAGGCAGGATTGGCTTCAAGGCAAATGGCTTACAGTTTGTTCTTTTGGTTTGACACCTGCTTCTACCCCTTTGAGTTCTAGACCTCTTACTTGTTCTTGCTCCTGCCTTCCACCCTCTGTGGCCCAACCCAAAGGGCTCAGAATTAGCAGCCGCTGAGCCCTGGCGGCATATGCTGCCAACAGCACAGTCAGCAGTTTGAAACCACCACCCGCTCCTTGGGCCACCAACAAGGTTTTCTACAGTGGTAAAGAGCTACAGACTTGGGAACCTCAGGGGCAGTTCTTGTCTGGCTTGTGGGGTCATCGAGCGTCAGAATTGCTCAAGGCAGTGAGTTTGGTTTTTCGGCCCGCTTCTACCCCTCCCGGTTCTAAGACCACTGACCCATTCTGGCTCCTGCCCTCTCCTTCCGTCTTCCACCCCCGGGCTCAGCGTGAGCAGACTCTGCTCCCTTCTGGAGGGAAGAGCAAGCCTTACCTTCTGCACTGATCAGCCTCCCAACACTTGCGTGGCTCAGTGAGTGTCTGGGCCGCAAGTGTGGCCAGTCCCTCCTTCGTCAGTCTCAACAGTGGGGCCACCAAGAGCCACTGGTTCCTTAAATGTCTGTCCCCTGGGGGCTATTCCTTACACAGGCTCCTCAGCTAGGTCAGCTGATGGCCCTGGGCTTCGGTGGAGAGCTGGGGGTGGGGATGACTGACCAGGGGTACTTGCCAGTGGTACTCTTGGTCCTCATTATTACTGGGTGGGACTTCTGAGCTGTGGGGCTCAGGTAGCATGGGGTGAGGCCTCTGTCTGAAGGTGTCCCCAAGCCCCCTTTCCTCTGCAGCATGCCCTTCGAGCCCAGGTCCTTGTGCCTTGTAAGGACCTGCTGGCCGGTCACCAGCCCTGCCCTGGGGTGAACCCCCTGCGGGATGTGACCTCACTGCTGCTTTTGCTGCATTCCGGCAGGGGTGGTGGTGGTAAAATAGAGCAGGAGTGTGCGGGATGACTCAGAGATGACTCGGGGCCCCTGGGAGAGGCCACTTGCCACCAGTCCATACAAGGGGAAGTGCCGGGCTGCAGCTGCTGCGGGGACCTGAGGGGCTAACTGGGGTGATGGACTGGCCCAGGGGGCAGGGCTGGGCATGCTCAGACGTCCCCCTGCTCTGGCCCTGGAACACTCATTGGCACCACTGGCCTGCCAGCCTCTGGCAACCTCCACACTTGTTGGAGGCTCCTATGGCCCTGAGTACTGGCTGGGCTTGAGGCAGAGGGCTGGAACACTCTGCCCAATGGACTCCTTCTGGCTTTTCAGACCTGGATTCTCTCCATGGGGGGCGGGAGCGTGTGTATGTTGGGGGGGTGGGAGCATATGTGTGTGTGGGGGGGGCGGCCCTGGGGAAGAGTGGGACTGCTGGCCAGGCTCCAAGGGAATGCTGGGAAGGGGGGGAGGGCAGGGCAGGGGTAAGTCACACAGACCCTGGAGGCAGATTTTGCTCAAAATGCTCCGTTTATTGCTCTATTCAATGACCACGAGCGAATTATAAAAAGACACCCCACGTCTCTGTCTGCCGGGGGATAAATATTTAAAGTCAGCAATAAAAACACGTGGCTCCAGGAGAACATGTTGCCAGAGTCATGCAGGCCCCGTGGAGGGGCTGTCAACACATGCGTGGACACGGGACACACGCAGAGCCACACATAGCAGGACTTTGGGGAGCGTGTTCCCACGGCGACACAGAACAAGGTTTCACACAGATCTGGACCAAGTCCCCACCCCACCCCCTTGGGGTTCCCTTCCCGTGCCCCCACTAGGGCCCAGAGCCCCCACCTGCTCCTTCCTCCTCCAATGCTCCAGAGGCTGAGGCACCTGACACCCAGGCCTGCCTGGAGGGGATGCCCCCCAACCCAGAGGCCTCTCTCCCTCAGTTGGGGCTTCTCAGCCAGACCCTCCAGGGCTCCCTAAGTGTGGGCTCCAGGTACTCAGGGCCCATTCTCTGGCCCCACCTGGTCCAGAGAGCTGGGGAGACGTGGAGGGGGTGGGCCCCTCTGCCTGGGCGGCGCAGGCTGTAGTGCATCACCCTGTCCCGGCCGGCCCAGGAGACACAGTGTCCGGTACACACAGGAGAGATGGATGGTCAGACAACACAGCGGCAGGACGCTTGGCTCGGGCATGGACACGGGCAAGTGGGAGTCAAGTTGCGGTGAAGCTACGGTTAAAAACTGAGGCCCCCCCGTCTTCATGGTGCGGGTCAGGCCCCAGGGCCCCAGGCCTGGCCTGGCACGTTCCTCCCCCCTCCCCCCAATATTTACAATAGGAAGAGCGACAATGGGGGGGTGGGGGCCAGGCCAAGGTGGACAGAGGAGGGAGGAAGCGGGAGGGAGGGGACAGGGAGCAGGCCTGGGGTGGGGGTTGGTGGCCTGAGCTGGGGTGTTGGGTGAGGAGGGCCGAGGGGAAGGCCCAGAAGACACTGAGGGGAGGGGGAGCGGTCACTCCTGGGCCTGGCGGGACAGCTGCTTTTCATAGAGGCTCATGACATGGTGCACGAACTGGTACTGCTCACACGTCTGGATCATGCCGCCCCTGCCCGGCAGATGCACAGCAGTCACCACGTGCTGTCCCGCCCACCACGGCACTGCCCGGCTGTGAGACCTGCTGGCCAGGCTCGGAGCCCCCTCTGTGGCCACCCTCACCAGCCTGGGCAGGATGGCACAGGGGTGTGTGTTCCACCTCGTCCGCCCCTCCTCCTGTCCACCGCTGTTTCTGTCCTCTTCAGTTGACTGCATCCTGACCTTGTGTCCATCTGTCCTCCCTGTCCCACGTCCACCAGACCCTCATCCCATGCAGCCTCTCCCTGCTCCCCCTCCCTCCACCTTGGCCTGGAGCCGACCTGTCCTGGCGGAGCTGGCACGTGGTCTTCAGGATGTCCACCACGCCCTCTTGCCGCAGCTGCTGGCAGCAGATACTGGTGGCGATGAAGCATCCAGTCCTACCAATGCCGGCACTGAGGGCAGAGGGGCCGGGGTCAGGGGCCCGGGACAGACAGCCCTGCGCAGCGGGTAACTGGGAGGAGGACCCACCTGCAGTGGACGATGATAGGGGCACAGTGGGGTCCCTCCTGCTGGGCTGCCTCCTCCACCTCCTGCACCAGGTGCAGGAGTGGGGGGGCGCGGTCTGGGGTCTTCTGGTCCGGCCAGGATGTGAACCAGTAATGCTTCAGGCCTCGCTCTTCAGCACCGCTCTGTGCAGACAGATGGGGACTCTCTCAGTGCCCCACCCCCCACTCCAGAGATGAAGGTGGGTGGGACAACCAGGGCAGCCCCTCCCACCTACACCACACTAGTCAGGGACCCTGGGCCGGCCTGGTCACAGGGGCTGGTCAGTGACCTCGGTCTTCACGCCAGCTCTGCCTCAACAACCCCAGGACCCCGAGAGGGGTGACGATGCCGGTCTCCCCAACTCATTCCTGTCTGCAAGCTTCCGTTGCCCCTGGGCCCCCTAACCCAGACTCTGCTCACTGCCCACAGGCCACCTTATCATTTCCCCAACACAGAACCCACTGGTCCCTCAGCTTCCAAATGAACAGTGTCTTTGTGTGGATCCCGGAGGAGGCACAGCTTCTGGGTGGGAGGAGACCAGCCCCCGCCCTTCTGGGCTGTTCAGTGTGTTCCTCTCCCTCTTAACCACCGGCTCCCAGGCAACCCAAACACAGGAAGGAGTGCCTGCCCTCTGGTGGACAGGGCGGGCATTACTCCCACCAGAAGCCTAGCATCTCAGGTGAAGGGACCTTACTTGGTGGCATTTCAAAGTCCCATTGGACCTTCCCGTCCTAAGGACACACCGGAGGCTGTTGACGTCCCATGAAGCAGAGGGTCCTGACCTGAGGGGCACTTGGAAGCAGAGCTGGAAGGCATTATTAATTCACAGAGCAGAGAGGCAGCCCAATGGGGCTGACTTCGACTAAGGCTTGTGATGCTGTCGGCATTTACAAGTTGGGCTGCTAGTTGCAAGGTCAGCAGTTCGAAACCATCAGCCGCTCGGGGGTGGGGTGGGGATGGGACTTTCTACTCCCATAAAGAGTTACAGTCTCAGGAACCCGCAGGGGACAGTTCCACCCTGTCCTATGGGTTGCCGAGTTGGCATTGGTGGGACAGCGGTGAGCTCTTTTACAGGCTGGAGGAGGGGCCTGGTGGCACACAGGTTCATTGCGTGGTCGCTACATGGAAGGTGGTCGGTTCGGTGGGAGAGAGGCCTGACAACCCATTCCTGTCAAGGTCACAGCCTGGAATACCTGCACGGGATGATGTGTGGGAATCCCCAGGGGCAGTCTCTGCAGGGGGCGAGTACCCGCCTACCCTGCTCTGCTTCTCCTCCCCAGGACCAGTCCACTCAGAGGCACCTTGGAAGAAAGGCCTGATGACCCCCCTCTGAAAAGTCAGCCACTCAAGGCCCTGTGAGCACAGTTCTGCTTTGAACGAACGGGGTCGCGAGAGCGGGAATCAGTTCCATTGTAACCTGAGGTGAGTGTGCGTGGCCACAAGCCCCCCCCACCCCCCAAGTCCCTCTCCTTAACAACCCGGTTAACAGAAACCCCAGGGGCCTCGCTTTAGCTGCCTTGGACCACGGGGCTGTGCTTGCCCTGCCCTGCCCCGCCCCCCCACCGAGTGCAGCCCAGGCCTCACCCTGAGGGAGATGAGCCGAAGCCGGTAATCCTCCGTGTGTCTGACCTCCCGCACGGTCACCTCCAAGTCGTCATACGCCACCTGCTCCTCTGGCCAGTACTCGGTGCACTTCTGCAGACGCCCACACCGTGAGACTATAGGTCCCCTCCCACAACCCGCGCCCCACACCCCGCCACGGCCAGTGGGGCAAGATGTGTCAAAGGGCGGTAGGCTTAGAGGTTAGCGCATTGGGTTCTGGCTCCAGCAGCATAAGCTATAGGATGGGCACTACCCTTTCCCGAAGCCCACTCGCTTCCTCTGGAAACTGGGGGCACTGAGTCGCTCTGAGCCTACCTCGTTCATCTCCTCGATGTTGGTGATCATGACGATGATGGGGGTGTGCTCCTGCCACACCATACGCCAGAAGTCGCCCACGGTGCCCACGATGGGTCCCTGAGTGGCGATGTACACCTTCTCCTCCCCACCATAGCCCTGTGGCCAGCCAAGGCCAGGGGTCAGCAGCAGAAGCAGCGCTCCTAGCAACCAGTCCCCCTCCAACCCTCGGGCTCTTCCCAGGGGTTGCTAGTAGCTTAGGGACAGGCCTGAAGGGCAGGCCCCACTGGCCCCTTTCAGGGACAGGCCATCAGGGTGAGGCTACATACCCGGATGTAGTTGGCATTGATGTAGGAAATCAGGGGGTCGTCAGGGTCTGGCGAGTTCAGGCACACCCTGCTGTGAGGGTCTGGGTGAGGGGAGACAGGGAAGGCTGGGAGCTGGGTCCTCCAGCGTGGGGACCACCTCCTCCAGTCCACTCTGGGGCACCCACATTTCTCCTGGCACCCTGGTGGCTTCTCCTGACTCACCCCGTGGCCTACTCAGGCAGGTGGGGGTCCAGTCTGAGGAAGGAGCGTGGAGAAGGGGGCCCTGGGTCGCTACCTCGGTAAGAGCAATATCTGCGTCTCGTAAGCTGCCCTGTCCTCAGTGCTCCTCGTTTCCGGAGAGGGACACGACCCGGGCAGTGAGAGCCCGAGTGTGCAGTGGGAGTCTGAGTATGCACTGCACTGACTTGCTGCATCAGCTTGGAAAGTGCATGCCCTTTTGAAGCATCTGTCTTCCTATCTGAAAAAAGGGGGTAAAGATGCCTCGTTCTTTGGAAGGGCAAGGAAAGGCAGATGGAAACGTGTTGGGCAAACTGGAAAGTGCTGTACAAGTGAGCAGGACTTACGAGTGGGGCTGTTAACTGCAAAGCCAGCAGTTCAAAACTGCCAGCCACTCCGCAGGAGAAAGACTTGGCTTTCTACTCCAGCAGAGAGTCTAGGAAACCCACGGGAGCAGTTCTAGTCTGTGCTGCAGGGTCGCCGGGAGTCAGCACCGACTCGATGGCAGTGAGAGCAAAGGGCTGGTATCTTGAGCCCCCTTGATTGCCCCTGGCGATCGTGTCTCTAAAGATGACACCCAGGAAGACTTGCTTGGCTGTCCGACTCCGTCACTTGGGGTTACAATAGTCAAAACCAACTTGATGGTGTCTAACACTAACTTACACGCAGCAAACCCCATAGTAACACACTTTCTGGAGAAGAAAAAAGATGGTTTTGTTCTAGCTGGCAGCTCCTGGTGGTGTTGTGGGGACACATTTGGATGCCCACCACAAGGTCGGCAGTTTGGAAGTCCCAGGTGTTTCTCAGGAGGGCGCAGCTTTCTGTACCCTGTGTACCTTTCTGTACCGGTTCTCAACCTGTGGGCTGCGACTCCTTTGGGGGTCGAATGACCCTTTCACAGGGGTCGCCTGATTCATAACAGCAGCAAAATTATAGTTATGAAGTAGCAAGGAAAATACTTTTATGGTTGGGGGGGGGTCACCACAACGTGAGGAACTGTATGAAAGAGTCTCAGCATGAGGAAGGTGGAGAACCACTGCCTTAATGGGACATAAGGACTTGGAAACCCCCGGGGGCGCGTCTATAGAGCCGCTACGAGTTGGAATCGACTCGGTGACAGTGAGTTTGCCTGGTCTGAGCGTCTCCTGTGCTGGTTATCCTGTCGGCGTGCGAGGCTCAGACAGACCCTGGGAGGGCAGAGGGGGTGGCCAGGGAAGCTCGCTCGGGGCCCGGAGCCCTGGGATTGGGCCTGACCTTCTCACCAGCTTACTGTGTGGCCGTGGACAGGGCTCTCCTTTCTCTGGGCCTCAGTTTCCCTAGTGCAGTCAGGAGGGCCAGAGTAGGCCCTTCCTGAAGAAGTGCACATGAGGCAGCTGGGGTGGGGGGGGCTGCAACATGGGGAATGAGTGGTTCAGAGTCCACAACACTGCGCCCGACAGCCAGCCTGGGTTCAAATCCTGGCTTTGCAATGTACCAGCAATATCCTTACTCTCTCTGGGCCTGCCCATGAACTTGGGCTGTTGTGAAGGCTCAGTGAGTGAACGTGAACAAGGGCGCCTGTGGCGCAATGGCGGGCACAGGGTCAACACCCAACGGGTAGTTGCTGTCACTACTAGAATGTAGCAGGAAAAATAAGGAGCCCGGAGCCAGGAGGGGAAACGGGACAAATGGGATGGGGGACACGCCACATGAGTCCTCATCTCTAGCTCGTCTTGGTCCCCAGCCCTGCTGCCCGGGGTTCTGGCAGGTGATTTGAGGGGAGGGGCAGCTGGGAGTGGGATGGATTTTGAGGAGAGGTATAGGGAGGAAGGGTGGCTAGGGTTGAGATGTCAGAAGTGGAGAGAAGCAAGGGCCGGCAGAATGGGGGCTTCTGGGAGTCAGAGGTGGGAGAGCTGCACATAGGCCACCTCCCTTACATCTTCCCAGAAAAGGTGGTTGGAGGCCAGAAGCAGACACTGCCTCCCTCTGCTCAGACACCAGCATTTCCGGCCTCAAAGAGCTACCCTGTGGTGGGTGTGGTGCCAGCTCATTCGACAGCCTCTCATTGAGCACTGACTCGTGTCTGGGGTGGTGCTGGTCAGCAGAGACTCTGAGGGAAACAAGACACGGTCTGTGTCTACAAGGGATCCACAGCACAGCAGGGAAGACAGGTGGACGAGGACCTGTGTCTCCAAGGGATGCTCAGAGCAGTGGGGAAGATGGATGGGCAGGTGGACAGGTGCAGGGTGAGGAGGATTTCAGGAAGAGGTGACACTTGGCCTGGGGCAGAAGGGCCAGACCAGGCGGAGTAGGGAATATTGTTGGATCTGATTCAAGTGCGGAGGGGGAGGAAGGTCAGAGTTGTTGAGTGACAGGGATGGAGAGGAATCAGAAGATGGAGGGTTTTAGATCAGGCTCAGGAGGTTGGACTGAAACCTTAGATTGCAAGTCCTGACAGTGGCAATTAAAGAGGAGAACACCATGGTTTGGCTTCTGTTTGGCATCATTCTGGGAGCAATGGTGGAAGATGGGTAGGAGGGGAGAGCGTGTATGTCGGGAGACTAGGAGATGGTTATAATGATCCGAATGGGAAGAAAGCCTCCTCACCCTGGCCAAGTCTGGGGTCCCCTGCAGCCCCTCAGCCTGGTGCTCGCACACCACAGACTGCATCCATCATCTACCCACTATCCATCCATCCATCCATCCATCCATCCATCCATCCATCCATCCACCACCCATCATCCATCCATCCATGCATGCAAACAAGTCTTAAACACCTATTATATGCCTACCAGGCCTAGCTTTTGGTCCCTGGTGCACAGTAGGGAACTGATTGACATTTCTCCCCAAGCAGCGCTACATGTTAGATTCCTGGTCTCTCCCAGGGGGCTGTGAGCTCTGCAGGTCGAGTCTTGTGTCTCCGTCATGGCTGAATTCTCAGCTTCTGGGCACGATCTGGGCTCCTCAGGGGCCCAGGCTACGTGTGCCAGATGAAGGAGAGAGCAAATCTCAAGGTACCCTAGATCTGAGTTGGTGTGGGCCCAAACGCATTTGCCTTCTGTACTCCAGCCTGGTCTGTGCAGGCAGGGGGGACAGTCCTTGTTGGGCATCGAGAAGATTCTGTGAGGCTTGGATGGTGCCATTGGGACCCCAGGCACAGACTCACTTTTCCCCCATGCCCACTCATAGAGGCTCCCAATACAACAGCCTAGGTTCTGGGGCATCTGAGCTTGGGCGGAGTGGTGGGATAGATGAGGAAAGAGGGGAGCAGCCCCGAATAATCCATCCCAGCCTTAAATGGCACTTTGTTTAACCGGAACCACCAGAGACAGTGTAACCATAGCAACCACAAGTGGAAATTTTAAAAGTTAAAAATAAGTCATGACATCTTACATGTTGTCGGAGATGCTGATGGCAAAGCTGCTTTTCCAAAAAGCCTCACTACTCCATAAACTAGGTGGAGTAGATCTGTGGGGAATCACTTTCAATAAGTCCCCCCCAGCCCCCCAAGCTAGACCTGGGGCCTGACCTGGGCGAAGCAGGGGCTACGGAAAGACCGATTAAAAAGAACTGAGCAACACCTCTGGGCCGAGCGGGGCCACCTGATCTAACCCAACCCAGGAGGGACGTCCCTCGTCGACCTTCTAGGGGCTGCTCCTGGGCCTTGCTTGCACATCTCGGCCCACAGGGGACTCAGGAAGCTCTGCGTGTTAGAGCACCCCCAAGCTGAGCACCCCGAGCTCCACTCAGCTCCGTAGCCAGGAGCTGCGAACTACGACTGATGTGCTGTGTCAGCTTGAAGACTCAACTTCTCTCTCTGTAAAAGGGGGCTGAAAATGGCATGACTGGGGACAAGCACTTCATTGGCATCTCTGAGCTTGGAGGTCTCCTCTGAGAAACCCCCTGCTCTGAAGAGATGTAGAGGTGGGCACATGCGGCTACCACACACTGTCTAGGTGCTGTCCTCCCTCTTCTTTCTCTTTCTGAGTTTCCACCGAGTCCCGCGTGACCCCTGGCTGAGGCAAGGCTCTAGAGCAGCGGTTCTCAACCTGTGGGTTGGGACCCCTTTGGGCGTTGAACGCCCCTTTCACAGGGGTCGCCCGATTCATAACAGTAGCAAAATGACAGTGATGAAGTAGCAACGAAAATAATCTTATGGTTGGGGGGTCACCACCAAGAGGCGCTGTATTCAAGGGTCTCGGCGTTAGGAAGGGTGAGGACCACTGCTCAAGAGGACCGTGCCAAGGCATGAGCTAGCCTCTGGGCACCTGGGCACCTCCATCCCTGCTCCTCCAGTGAAGAGGGTCCCTTCACCCCTGGATGCTCAGCTGTGGGGGTGAGGTGTTTTGAGGGGGCACCCAGGAGAGGGTGGGTTCACTACCCTGCTGCCGGGGGCAGCGAGTACTCACTGGGAAGGATGGTTCTGTATCGGTTCTTCCGCACCAGCCCAGGGATGTCGTATTCTTTGGGATCCACAAAATTCATGGGGATCTCCTGCAGCAGGAGGAGGAGGACAGGGGAGTGTGAGCGAGTGTGGCTGGCTTTATGGGTGCTCCAACCCCAGGGGGCTGCCTCTGAAGTCGGGGCCAGGGCTGGAGTGTGCGTGCCTCCCGCGAAACACACTCGCTTCGCTTCGCTCCGCTCCCCTCAAGCGTGGGCCACAAGGCTCAGTGCACATCGACTGCTACTCGTACTGCTGGGGGTGAGGGCTGGCCGGGCACACAGTAGACGCCCAATCAAATGCCTGATTAACGCAGAGCAAGAGGAAAGGTGCCGCTTCACGCTCCTTGTGCTGTGGCAAGATGGAGTGAGCCTTGGTGGCATAGAGGGTTACGTGGTGCATTGCAATCCACAAGGTCAGCAGTTCAAAACCACCAGCTGTTCCATGGGATAAAGTAGAGGCAGGTCTTTTACTCTTGGAAAGAGTTACCGTCTTGGAAACTCACAGGGGCAGTTCATTCTACTCTGCCTGATAAGGTCGCTATGAGTCACAATTGATTTGGTGGCAATAGGGGTGTGTGTGCACGCTCCTGCCCTGGGCACCCCCGTGCTGGGAGCCTGCCTGTGCTGTGCTGGCACCCAGCCTGTCCTCACCTCATCTCTCCATCCATCTTAAAGGGGCTTCTTCTGACCCTCCAGCAGAGCACCAGGGCTGCTCATGTACCCCACCACCACTTCTGGGGCCAACAGCTCCGAGTCGGACATTCTCAGCACAGCTCCGGAGGTCCGGATCTCAAGGGTCACCCCCACTCCCACCCCCACCCCCCAGGTATTCCAGGCCCTTCCCTCCGGCTAAGATTTCACTCTCAGCTCGCTCTCCAGGTCTTAGTCCCTCCCATCCCCAGGGCTGGCAGTGCAGCCCTTCCTCTGCCCATTTCTCCACAGCTCTCCCACCCTCCCAGTTCACCACAATCCCACCTTCTCCAGGACATCCCTGGAATGTCTCCCAAGGCCAGTCCCATCAGAACTCCCTTTCCGGTTTAACACTACACCATTTGTAGTTTGACACTGATCTCCATTTCTCCTGGACACACCGAATGTGGACTTTGGAAAATGAGGAGCATACTAAGCCCTGGGCTATTAGGAAAACCTAAAGAAACACACAGGTGCAAGGTGCCCAGCCTAGCGGAGAGGGTGCTCAGACTGTACACCTTTCTCTTGGTTGGGAGGGGGGAGAGAAGGTAGCCAACAACACTGTCTGAACATCGTTTACATTGTGTGGGGCCTCAGTGGGAAGATGGGCCGACACAGAGGGAGGCTTGTGGGAGAAAGAAGCCAGGTAGGGGCATGTTAGTACAGGCGAGGTGGGTGGCCAGTTTGAAGTGGAGTCCTATGGGGTGAGAGGTGGTGGAGAAGGGCAGAGGTTGGAGAAGGAGGCCGAGGCTGGACAAGCTCAGGTCAGGTGAGCAGCTGGACAAACTTAGGTCAGGTGAGCTTTCATTCTCACACAGGTGGTGCTAGCTTCTAGAGCCTTTGGGACAGGGCTCACGAGGTGAGGTGACAGAGATCTCTTTAGATCCCCCAGTCCAGGCAGGGCTGAGGGTGGTGTGGGGCCAGGGGCTGGAGGCAGGGGGACCTGAGGGAGGCACATGGTTCCGTCAGGAGGAAGTTCCCCCAAACAGTCCTGGCCTCTTGCTCAGGTGAGAGAGTTACTTTAGGGGATACGTTTGATTGAGGCACTAGGTTTTTAGACCCCAGCCCCTTCTCCTCTCTCCACTCAGGAGCCCTCCTGCCAAGAGAGAATTATGGGGTAAGGGGAGGGAGTGCACGGGGTGAGACCTGCAGTATGCCAGCACCTCCTGTGGGTGGATAGGTGGGTGGGGGTGGCTAGGGCATTTGTCCAATTCTGGGTTGGCACTAGAAATTCCCAATTCCTACGATTAAGTGCCAGGCTGCTAATGGCGAGGTGGGCAGTTCAAAGCCCACCAACTGCAGGAGAAAGGTGTGGTGTTTTGCTTCCATGAGGAGTCACAGTGCTGGAAGGCCTACGGGCAGTTCTCCTCGGACCCGTGGACTTGCTGACTCAGAACTGACCTGATGGCAAGGAGTTGGGGAGTGCTACCCACTCGGCCTCATCAACAGTAAGAGGGGACACTCATGGCACCCAGTGTCTAGGAGGAGGCAGTCGGAGGGGTCCACCGGGTGGTGGTGGGATGGCAGGATGTGGGGTCATCAGGACTTAGGCTAAAGTCACAGGGTGGGGGTTAGGGGGCGTGATGAGAGATTTCAAAGGAAGGCGGGAGAAGGGAAAACTGCATAGACAGATGGGAAGGTGCCCCGAGCCACAGAAACAAAAGCCACCAACCACTCACTGCCACTGAGTCTGTTCCGACTCACAGCCACCCTATCGGACAGGGCAGAACTGCCCTGTGGGTTGCCGAGACTGTAACTCTGTGGGAGTAGAAAGCCTTGCTTTTCTCCAGTGGAGCTGCTGGTGATGCCACCCCATGCCTAACCACTCTGCCACCCAAACCCACACCCACCTCATTGCCACCGAGCCACTGCTGACTCAGGGACACCCCTGTGGATTCCCGAGGCTGTCACTGTTGACGGGAGTAGAAAGCCCAGTCTTTCTCCAGAGGAGCTGCTGGCTGTGCTGAACTGCCGACCACGCGGATCGCAGCCCAACACGTAACCACCACACCACCAGCGCTCCTGCTGTGTTGCCACTGCCGGGCAACAGGGGCTTAGAAACGACCCTACTGGGAGGGGGTCGAGGAGAGGGGACCTGTGGTCCCCATCCTGTTGATCCTTGCGACCGTCCTATCATGAGGACCCCTATTTTCCAGAGGCGGAAACCGAGGCTCAGAGGGAGAGCAGCTTCCCCCAAAGGAGAGCGGAGAACGAAATCGTGTCTGTCCACGCCCCGTGCTGAGTTCGGAGCCCCTCACCCCGTGGCACGTGGTGGGCGTGACCTGAAAGGTCTGCCCTGGGTGGGGCGGTGGGCTCGAGGAGGTGGGGGGGCACTCACGAAGAATTCAGCCTGCAGCAGGAAGGGGTCCAGGGCTTTTTCGTGGAGCTCCTTGGCTCGCAGGACTCGGGAGGCGCTGAGCAGGTATTCTCGCGCCGACTCCTCTCGGGGGGACATGACGTAGCCGAAGCCTTCCTCATTGCAGCCCGGCGTGCACATGTCCAGGGTCAGGGAGACGTTGGAGCCCCTCCTGGGAGGGCCGGGGGAGGATGGGTCTCAGGGCAGTGAGGCAGGGTGGTGGGAGGGGCACAGGTGGGAGGAGGCGGGGCTCAGGGAGGGGGAGGAGCAGTGTGGCAAGATCCCCGCCCCAGGAGCACGGGCCTCAGCTGGTCGCCTCCACCCCACCAGGTGCAGGAGCTGCTGAGGCCCGGCCAGGCCAGGCTGTCCATCTGCCCAGGACTGGTCTCTATCCTTACGGGACTTGAGGCCTGGCTTCACAGTTCCAGGAAGCTCAGAGGGCCTGCGAGCATCCGACTAGAGCAGGGTCGGCAAACTTTTGAGGCGGAAGAGCCAATCCGGTCCCTCACAACAATTTGACAATCATCTGAGAGCAACAAGGCTGTTTTTACAAATCGGAAGGATTTAAAGTAACATTACAAATGAAACAATGGTCGTTTGCTTCTGTTTCGATTTTACTTCAGAGCCACTTAGATTAAGGTGACCAGATTTAAAGCGGGACACCATTGACGGGGTGGGGGGGGTGGGGGGCACGGGAGAGTTCTTGATTAAAAATTTGGTCTATATGGACCAAATAGACCGTTCCCTAGCTTCTCCTGCGTTCTTTAAAAATTGGGGCTGTCCCGCCAAAAGTGGGACGTCTGGTCACCTTGCGAGCTGCCGTTTGCCAACCCCTGGTCTAGAGCCACCCAAGGGCAGGGCTTGGGCCTATCATGCTCCTGGGGCCACTGGTCTAGGGATGAGCATGCCCTGGGTCAAGGGTGTCCAGGAGGCCAGGACTCCCAGCTGTCAGGAGTCCCGAGGACAGCCCGGTGGGAGCAAGGACCCCGATCCTGGATAAACTCTACCGTGCAGGGTCTAAGCCACACAATAGGAAGGGCTCTTGTTCCAGGAGAGGGAACTGGAGTACCAGATAGGAGCCAGGAGGGGTCTAGGCTCTCCCAGTAAGGCAGTGGCAGAACTGACCAAGTGAAGCCTTCAGCCTCCTCGTCCAGGGCTCTTCCTATGACACGGAGGGGTGTGTGCATGCCTGTGTGTGTGTGTGTGGTGGGGGGAGGGGGTGCCACTCACTCCTGGTATGACCTGGCCGTTCTAGCTGGGCCCTGCAGACAGGGTATCTAACAGCCCCGGGGACACAAAGGGCAAGGGCTCGGCTGCTAATGCAAAGGCAGCAGTCTGGAGCCACAGCTGCTCGGCAGGAAACAGGTGTTGCGCGGCCTGCCCAGGACAGGTAGACGGGCAGCTTCCCTCTGCCAGGCGGGGTCCCTGTGCGTCAGAGTCAACTCGATGGCACCACCACCACCCCTAGTGTGCTCACTGGGACACCAAGAGCCCTCTGATCAAACGCCCACGGCCCTCACTGCTGCACCGCGCCCCGCCCCCCCCACGGCCCTGACAAGTCCTGTGGTCAAGAAGCCTCTTTGATTGCCATTATTTTCCAAGCTTACTTGAACCCGAGTGTGTGTGTGTGTGTGTGTGTGTGTGTGTGTGTGTTTGTGTAGGGGAGAGGCGGGTTAATGCAATATTTGTTGCCGCTGAATTTGGGACGTGTGAGCTAGAGAAATCAGACTTGAAGAGTCGGTGTCTGTACTGGCCAAGCTGTGAGGAGAGTTTTGTCCTGAGCACAGGTGGTCAGTCAGCCACCTGCCCTTCTGATTGGAGCAGGGAGCTCGAGGGCCCGTGGAGCCCCCCCCCTCCACCCCTCCCACCTCTCCTGCAGACCCATGGACTTGACGGTCAGCGAGGCGGGGTCGGCCTCAGGCTTGATGTCCATCACGCAGTCAAACACGGGGGTCTCCGGAACGGGGTCCAGGTCCAGGAAGTCATCCTCGGCCTTTTCCTCCATCCACTCCGAGTAGGTAAAGGAGGGCTGGCGGCTCACTGACTGGCGTCTGTCCTCAGGGGGCAGTGGGGTGGGGGGCTCTGGGGGAGCCCTCAGGAGGTACCACACCTGGTTGCGGGCATGTGACATCATGGGTCATACTGGCTGCCTGCTGGGTGACTGGGATGGGATTAAGCCCCTAGGCTAGGAACCCGCCCCCCCAATCCTCTCTGATGCCTCCATCACTAAACCCTCAGTTTCCCGTGGACCAGGCCTTGGGGGGAGGGGGGATGGCGCTTCCATCAGATATCTCCTTGTCTCCCCCCCTCCCCGCCTCCGCTCCCCAACCCCTATCACTGCTAACCAACTTTGAGAGAGAAGGTGCTTCTCCCCCAGGCTGGGCACTGTGCAGAAGGAAAGAGCTCACTCAGGCCCCCCTCCCCCCACAGGACGGGAGGAGGGCCCCAGGCTCACGGGTGGAGAGCGCACATAGATGGGATCAGAGAGCACCTTACCAGGGTGGTGGCCAGGACCAGGCCTACAGACAGCGAAACCAGCAGCAGACTGGGGACCCCCCAGGTCTCCATCCCCAGCCAGGCCTGGGGGACATTAGACACAAGGGTCTGCTTGTTAGTGGGGTCGCTCTCATCCATTTCAGTGGCTGACACATGAGGCTCTGCCCTGTGGGCCAGGCCTGGGGTGTGGGGCACGGTGCAATGACAGAGGCTCAGCACCCTCTTGACTTGGGGCGGGGATGGGACTGGAAGCCCACACTGGCCCCTTTACCCTGGAGTGACCCAGAGTGACTCACCGTGGGTCCTAGGAAGGGGAGGAAGGAGGAGATGACGTTGGTGGCATTCTTGAACCAGACGTAGCCGAAGCCGCTGTACCAGAGTATCCCAAAGGCAAGCTGGGGCAGCCAGGGGGAGCGGGCTGAGTTCAGAACCTGGGATTCCTGCCCCCACACACCCCCTGCAGAGCTGACCCTCTCCTTCAGCTGGGCCCCCCCCAAGGAAGCTTCTGAACCTCTCAGGTCCAGACAGAGGGAGCAGCTAGGGGAAGTGCCCAGGGGCCATGTGCCTTAGGGAGGCCTCAAGACTCTCCCTGGAGACAAGCTGACTGAAGGAGGCCCACAAGGGTACCCCAGGCACAGACAGAACATGGGACTCCCCCAAAGGTGCCTCCACAGGCAGGAGGTCCCCGGAGAGGAGCCTACCTGGAGGCCCTGCGTCCTTGCTGCCCCGATTAGGGATAGGGGCAGTGAGGGCTTTAGGTACAGAGGATGTTCCCTCCCGGCCGCCGGGTAGAAGGCAGTCCCTCAGGCCACCCTCTCTGCAGGCCCTTGGGTCCCGAGATTCTTACCAGGAAATGTGAAACAGCAAACAGGCACAGGCTGCCCCACAGAATAAGGGAGTCGCTCCAGGTGACTCGGGGTGGTGGCTTCCGAGCTGGCTCTGAGAGCTGGGAAGGAGGTGGGGGTGGTGGCATCTCTCTTCGCAAGTCCGAATCCGGGAGCCCTTCAGCCTTGTTTGGCGCCTCTGCCACTACCGGCTGGGGGAGACCTGTGGAAGGTGGGACCGATGGGCCGTGACTCTGGGGGCCCCCGGCTGGCACCCGGGGCTCTGTCGGCCCACGGCGGGCGGGCCGCTCCTTTCAGGGGCGGCTGTGGGTTCCTCTCTCTGGGATCAGTCAGCGTGGCTCCACTTCCAGCAGTCACCCTCGATTAGCGAAGCAATATTCACCTACCTTCGTCAGAAAGAGCTTCGTGTGGGTGGACAAATTATTTCTCTTTTATTTCTCCAGTAACAGAGTTAAAATGGCAGGAGGTTTTTCAGAGTTAATATCGGTGTGTTTACGCAGCTTCATTCTTTCTCGTTTCTTACGGAATCAAAAAACAACCACCTCAAACTCAATTAAAAGTGAAAAAAAAAAGACATGGCATAACCAGACTGTGACCCTGAACAGCCCGCCCACGCCTGCCCTTCTAATTTTTGTCTCCTGTGGTCTCTGCCCCAGCTGGAGGCTGGACTCTTGACAAGACCCATGCCCAAGGGACCCTCCCCTACACTGAGACCCCACACTGAAGGCGAGGGTGTGTGGGTGGGGTGGAGGATGAGGGGTGGGAATCAGCAGGAAAGTCTTGGTAGAAGAACTGGCATTCGATTCCTGGCATTTGGTTCTGGCTCTGTCTCCGGCTGTGTGTCATCCTCTCTCAGGGACTCAGTTTTACCATCTGGGAAATGGGGGATTGGGTACAGCCCTTGGCTTCTAGCTGAGCCCCATGGAGCCGTAGTGTTTTCCCAAGTGTTCAGCTAAGTGCTCAGGGCCCAGCAGCTGTGAGCTAATAGAGCCCTAGAAGCAAAACCTGCCCCCATTTAATATTTGGGGTTTTCTTGATGGTTGTTTCAATGGCGGGTTCTATTAACTAAAACAGTCTGGAGGCCACGGACCCAGATCTGAGGCTCTGGTGGAAGTCTGGGGATTCCAGTAGCCACCATCTAGTTGAGGCCCAGGATGTTGGATGTTCCCATCCAAACCCACGTGGCTCAGTCTATTTCCAAGAAAACAGAGGGCCCAGCGACATGGATGCTCGGGGCTTGATGGTGGGGATGGGGCTCCCGCATAGAGAACCCCTGGCACTGAGTCGATGGGGCATCATAGTCCGTCTTGGTGGGACAGCACCAGAACGCCTCCAGCCACCATCATGGGCGGCCCCGGCAGGTAATTGGCTCACTTGATATTTACCTAGCATCTCCCCCAGTGGGATCAATGGTGCAATGCAGTTAACACCTGTCTTTGAGACACATGTATTTACCTCATAACCCCACCCCCACCCCCTGCCAGCTGCTGACCTGACAGGCTTCCCACCTGTTTGCTTTCTTCCAGCCGTGCTTCCTGAAGATCCCTCAGCGAGCCTGTGCCCTTTGGATACCCTGTGTCCACCCCCTGTACTTCCCACAAAGTCCCGAGTTAACTTTGACTCATCAGGATGCGGGCTCTGCCATACGTGCATTCCCTGCCTCCCGTCCAGACCAGCAGCAGTGAAAATACACCTGTGAGGCTCTTTTCTGAGTGGTTTGCATTCTTACCTGAATGGAGTTGGCATCCTTATTACCCTCTTTTTGTGGAAGGAGGTGATGACGTGCAGAGGCTGTAGGGCCTGCCTGCGTACGTGGTAGAGGTGTGTGTGCTCCACAGAGGGAGTCGGACGGGCTCATTATGGTTTGTATAATTATCTGGGAGTGTCCCCTGCTCCCCATCTGTATGCTCCTAAAGCCAGCAGCGGTGTCAGTGCTGCCCATCATGACTATCCCTTGCACCTAGCACAAGTCCTGCCATGTATGTCTGCAATGGACACGAGGGGCCCTGATGGCATAGTGTGTAAGTGCTGGGTTGCCAACCACAGGGCCGGCAGCTCAAAACCACCAGCCACGTTGTGGGAGAAAGATGCGAGCTTCGACTCCAGTAAAGTCTTAGCAACCCTCAGGGGCGGGTCTAACCTGGCCTGTCGGCTGGCTAGGCGTCAGACTAGACCTGGTGGCACTGAGGGCGTGAGTGTGGCAGCACAGTGAGCTGCTTGTTGGTCCGCAGTGCACATCCTCCAGTGGCTCCGTGGGGGAAGGGTGAGGTTGTCTGCTCCGGTGAAGATTCACAGCCTTGGAAGTGCACAGGGGCAGTTTCACCCTGTCCTAGAGGCTCACTGTGAGCCAGAGTGGACTCAATAGGCCATGTGTTATTCTTTAAATGAATGAACGTTGGTGGCAAGTGAAAGCTCTTGCGAGTTTTCTTATCAGATACATGGGGTAACGCCGACATCGCAAACCTGTTACGACATCTGTGTTGTTAGTTGCCATCCCATGGAGTCTCACTAATGGTAACCCCGTGCAGCACAGAGCATTCCACTAGTAGCACCCCATTAGTGTCCTACAGAGCAGAGCAGCTCCAGGAAGTCCTTTTGCTACCATCGTCATGGGGGCGGGTTGCCAGGCCTCTCTTCCGTGGCACTGCTGGTTGGGCTACAACTTCAATCCTGAGATCAGCAGTGGAGCAAAAACGGTGCCACCCAGGAATCTGATGCAGACGGAACAGACTATACATGCATTGCCCAGCCAGAGCTCGGCATTTACTAGATACTCAATCAGTAGTACAATAACTCACAATTCCTGTTTTCAAGAGGCTGCTGATTTGGGGGCTCGGGGCCGTAGTCTCAGGGGACACAAAGGTCAATTAGTATAACACAGTTCACAAACACAATGCTTTACATCCCACTTTGGTGAGGAGCGACGGGGGTCTTAAAGACCAGTGAGTACCTCAGTGTACGGGCCACATAGTGGCTTCTCCCCATTCAGAGGATAGAAGGGTGAGGAAAACCGAAAGACGTGTGGGAAAATCTGGCCAATGGACCAATGGACCAGGCCAACATCAGTCCCCACCACCACAGGACCACGGGAAGACCCACTGCCCAGGACCAGGGAGTGACCACACCAGAAGGCCCCGGAGAGAGTGGGGGGGAAGGTGGGACAGGAGCCAGATCACCAAGACACCAAGCTTCCTATCAGGCAGAGACTGGTGGGACCCGAAGATGATGACTCACAGTCTCCCGTAGGTCTAGAACCGAGCTGACCCTTCGTCAGAATAATCACTCACTTATCATCGCTTAGGGCTGGGGGACTTCCTGTCCGTGGACCACTTAAGGCAGGAGAAAGCATCAATATCAGCTAACACCACACGCCTCACCAATGGGAGGCAGTTCCAGCAACCACATTAGGAGTGAGTTAGTTGTTTGTCTAGTATGGCCCATGGATGATGTTATAAATTATGTCCACATGGCCGTTGGCAGAAAAAAAGGCTCCTCACCTCCGATCACGCCTAGTCTCTCCTGGTGACCCTCCAGGATAGAAGAGAATTGCCCCTCTGAGTTTGTGAGATTTAGAAAAATCTGCATGGGCCCAGACAATCTCCACCTTTCTCCTGTAGAGCTGATGGTTCACACAGTTGACCTTGTGGTTGACAGCGTAATTCATAGCCCCTTTGCCACCAGGGATCCTTCGGAATCTTAGTAAACACCCTCCCGGCACCCCCAGACATTCTGAGTTCATTGGCACAGAGCGCTCACTGGGCATGAGAATTTCTTTAAAGTTCCCCAGGTGGTTCGGGATTGCAGCAAAATTTGGGAACCCCTGATTTAGAATCAGAACCAACTTGATGGCAGTGAACTTTTTTTTTAAGGGGAAGCCCTTACCCAAAGGCAGAGGGTTAGGCAGGTCTGAGACAGGAGAGCTTGGGAGCAAGTGGGGCACCCCATGGGGCGCTGAAGGTAGTGAAGCTGATGAATTGAAACAAAAGGTGTCCAGTGTTCAAACAACACAAAACAAATTCCCCGTTTGGTGAGTCAAACGGACTGCAACTATCTGTTTACAATTCAGTGTGATATATTCTAAGTGCGGATGGAATCGGGGTGGGGGTGGGTGGTGCTGCCCATGAAGGCTGCAGTTACTGACTCCACGAGCCGAGCTGGCGGCCTCTCAGCCCGATTGACAACAAAGGGAGAGTTTCTGCCAAAGGGGGATCGCAGGAGAAGTCAAGAGGTTCTGCTATTGACAAGCAGACAGTTCATTCCTCAAGGCCTAGGTAGCCACCCACACTCTGTTGACAGGTGATGCCAACTGTGGGAGGAAGGGACAGGCACAGGCCTGAGGATGGCTGGCTTCTATGCCTGGGCTCTGCAGCAGACATGCTGCAGACCTAGGATGAGCAGGCACCCCCTTCTTTTCTAGGGGGCCCAGTTTCCTGAGCTGGAAAATGAGTTGTTTGAATTCTGTGTTTCTCGAATGTTTCCTCCAACCGCCGATGGGAGGAACCATGTCCCTGGGGACGGGGAATAGTAGCAGGCTCACAGGCCTGTGCCGTCTTGTTCTGTGCTCCGCACCTTACTATGTCTGCACTTGTTCTGATGTTAAGATAATGGGTTTCTGTCTCGCAGAGCTGCGGAGAGAATTCATGCACCAGGAAGATGTGTGCAGCTTACTTGTGGCTCTGCCCTTAGGGGTACAGGCTCCCCAGTCTGGGCAGCATGTAACTTGCCTGCAACAGAGCCTCATGCAGTCGATAGATGAATATTTAATAACACGGAAAGGGATTTCAGAGGCATCAGATGAGAAAAGCAAGGTTACAAAACGGCATGATCTCATTGGCCTTGAGATTCAAGAAAGTATAAATGTGCAGACCCAAGATGGTTGAAATGTGGTGCTACGTACCTTTCCCCACAACGATGACAACAACAAAAGGTGGAGGCAGTGCTTAGATAGCACAGTGCCTGGCACACAGTAAGTGCTTAATACATGTCTAGAGCATATGGGAGAAAGGGGACTTGGTGGTGTAGTGGTTGTGAGTTGGGCTGCTAACCACAAGGTCAGTAGTTCAAAACCATCAGCTCCTCCAAGGGATGAAGATGAGGCATTTTACTAAGAGTTGAAGTCTCAGAATTCCACAGGGCCAGCTCTTCCCTGTCCCAAAGGGGCACGATGAGTTGGGATTGACTCCATGGCAGTGAGTTTTTTCT